AAATTTTTTTTCTCACCCCCCCCCCCCCCCCGTTTTCTCTCCTCATCATTTCCTACTGACAGCAGTCTCTAAAGACCCCTATAGAGCCCTAAACAGTTTTCTTATCACTTGCTGGGCTTACTTTTCCTTTTCTTTTTTTCTTTTTTCCAAGCATAGCTTTTCTACTTCCCTGGCATTTGCTTCTCTGTATCTGGTTTGGCTCCAGGATCCACAAAGTGGAGCGACAGGATGGGATTTCATGTACTTTTCTTTTCTTGTAATGTAACGAGACAGCCAATGGTAACAGAATTTACCCTGTATCAAAAATAGTTTTTTATATATATCAGGAATGTACTCTCTCTCACACACACACACACACACACTCACACACACCCAGCAGATGATTGCTGGATTGGATTCTCCTTCAGTCATATCTACTGGATAACTCAGGGGTTTAATGATCGGGCTGCAGAGGCATGCATTTGATTCCCCAGTATGCCTCTTTGACAGGAGCTGTATTCAATGATCTGTAGAGTCTCTTCCAGCTTTGTAGTTTTAAGATGATGATGATGATACCAATAATGAGTGAGAGCTCTGGTTCAGCAGCATCTGGAGGGGCCATCCGTTCCCTTGTTCTGCATTATAGGTATATGGCCTTAACGCTGCATTGCATCGGCAGAAATCTGATTGACAGCAGTCTGACCAGCAAATTCATATGCTGTCTTACATCAGAACAATTTATTTAGAAGCAGTAGTGTCCTCTTTTCAAAGTCAATAATGTAACTCTCTGTATTCAGACCACTTGGAGAAAAACACACTTCCTTCAGTTCTTGAAAATAAACAAAGAAGGGTAGTGAAATATCCTTGAAAGACCCTGTGGTAATTCAGACTCCTACTTGAAAATAAGAGAGTAGTCTGGGCAGGAAGAATTGGGTCATTATAGTACTCTGTGATCTTGCTGCTCATTTTACTGTACTAGAGATGCAGAAAGAATTGTGATCAGGCCAGCCGACTAGCCTGCCTGATCAAAACTCTATACTGTGGCTTTCCAGTGTTTCTTCCACTCTCACTGACCACACCGACAGCTGCATAGGTTCAGCACACCCATTGCATTGTATGCTTTTTTTTCCAGGCAACACTTTGGTTACTGTCTTCCCCATGGATCCCTGAAAGTAACACAATCTAGAATATAACCAAGAATTTCTTTAATTTATCAGATGGATTTTGTATCATATTTAATTCAGTGAAGGAACACATTGAAAACTAAGTCCCACTTTCAAAAGCCCATGTTTCTATTTTGCACATAGAATAAGCCTTCCCTTATTCTGTAAGGTTTCATTTATAATTCAGCCAGAAAAGTTTGAACAAGAAATACAAGCCAACCAAAGATTTATTCCTGGCAATTTACCAAGTTCTTCAGGCATGTTATTTTGCTCTCATTCCAGCTTGGAAATTGTTGGCTCCTGCTGGTTTATGGCCAGAGTATGACTGAAGGTGTTACCAGTCATTAAATCAAAATGCATCACATGTCAGACTTCCATAAATACAAAAATCTACCTAAGCATTCCAATTCGCCATCATTATCCCCCCTCACCATGTGAGATATGCAGAAATTTGTGAAAAACATGATCAAATGGTGGAAGAAGCACAGAATTTATAGGATGAAATCCAGACTAGTGAAATCCAGCAGCAAATCAACTAGAGTATGTCAATTGAACTGGTGGAATTTATGGAGAAGTTGGCCCACCAAATCCCTGCTAATTCAATGGCTCTACTCTAGTTGCAACTTACTATTGCATTTCAGCCAATTATTTATATTTTAGCCATACTGAAATCAGTGGGACTTAAATTTGTCATCTATTTGTCTGTCTGTCTGTCTGTCTGTCTGTCTGTCTGTCTGATACCCCACCCATCTAGTGGACAAGCCACTACTCTGGGTGACTTCCAAGGCAGTAACATAAATATACAGGCAAAATTGAAATAAAAAATATACAAAAGCAAAAAGTCACCCTAAGAACCTCCATCTTATATGTTCTGCTTTAAATGACCAGTCACTCAAGCAATCAGTCAATAAATGTTCTGAAAGAACTGAAACTAACATGGATCCCCAGGGGATGAGCATTTATGTGAAAATTTCCCTCAGAATAGTGTCATTTCACCTTCTTTAGGGCTGCAAGAGGTTCTGTTCACTATTGCCAGGCCTGTTGCCATGTTGCACAGCATGAATGGCATGTCAAAATGGGGACAAGGGAGGCAAGAGGTCAAACCCATAAAAATCACTGAATGTCAAAACCTCTTAGACTAACCCTACCTTGCAGATGTCTTGTGAATATAGAAAGGGATGGCTCCATGTACATCTGAGTTTTGTGGAGAAAGGGAAAGCAAACATTGGACAAATGAATTGGGCTGAGTTACACATCATGTTCATGAAAAATCTATTGTTATTGCAAGATGTATAATATTTTCACATTATGTTCACAGTAGAAAGAACAATAATTTATTTCCAGAGAAACTTCACTTGAGCTCATGTTTTGAATGACTTCAATACTGTGGTAATACTGTGAAGTTCTTATTATAATAATCAATACAATGTGTGAATTCTTATGAGCAAGTGCCATATTGCTATGCCCACCTGTATCACTTTAACCATGATTTAGCATTATGGGCCTTGCATGCATTCTGTCTCATCTGTCCTTCTCCTCAGGTGTGCTGGGAAAGAGATCAGGGGCTTGGGCATCAATTTTTACTAAACCACACTTTTGTGTAATATCTGAACCCTAAGCTGTGGTTAATTTTAACTAAGGTTTATGGTGTTGTGGCTATAGAAACCACCATTTAATTAAGACTAACTGTAATTTGCCTGAAAAAAACACTGATGATCACCCTCTTTCAGCCCAGTCCAGAAAGAAAACCAAGTCAAGAGTGGATCGGCCACATGTGTTGGGCAATGACAAGTTAGAAGCTGCCCTTAAGAAAAGAGAGTTTCAGTATAGATGAAAGTAGTCTTTGGTCCTCAGCAGCTGATTTGAGATCATCTTGTCAGTTCAGGCACCGTGCAGAAAGGCTATTAGTTTGTTCCATTGAACTGTACTGTACCAAAACTGTATCCCAAACAATACTGGTTTTGTTTACTGCCATATGTTAAAAGGTCTTATTTTGATTCCAGGTCTATAATGTCCACTACACAATGAGCATAAATGGAAAAGTACAAGAGGGATCAATGGAAATTGATGCAGGGAACAACTTGGAGACCTTTAAAACTGGAAGAGGAGGAGAAGAGGCTGTTGAAGTTCATGATTTTCAGATTGTAAGTATGGCACCTTAATTATTTCTTCATTTGAGGAAGAAAAAGAGAGAGAATGCACCAGTCCAGGAGTAAAAAGGGAGAGGAGTTCTCAGTGGCACAAGAAAATGACTGAGTAGACTCGTTATGTTTCAACAAAGGCTTTCTTCAGGCGCCATATACATAAATTTGAAGTATTAAAAGGACTTCTAAAACATACCATAGCTATTTTGATAACAAAATATCTTCTGAAAAGGAATAAAATTAGGGAGCTTTTTCTATGAATCTTCCTTTGATATTGCAGACTGATACGCATGTGTCTCTGAAAAAGCTCTTTGTCAGAACTGTGGCCTAAGAAATATCTTCCTTTTTTAAATTTAAATTCAACATACAAAAAACAAAAATAGAAAAAGCAAAAAGATAATAATAATAATAATAACAACAACAACAACAACAACAACAACAACAACAACAACAACAACAACAACAACAACAACAACTAGACTAAACCCTCTGCTAAACTAAATCCTCCCCCCTTTGAAGTCAGAGACTCCAGCCTCATTAACCCTCTGCTCTCCCCGGTTTAGTATCCAGTGTAAACTAAGTAGATATAAATGTATGATAATATTTGTCCTACACTATCTACATGATCACCTAGGAAGCTCCATGTGTATGGCTGGGAACCCTTCTTTGCAGCTTCTGGGACATGTTCTAGCTGGGATACATATGAATCATACAGGATACTTTTCAGAGAATACATCCTTGGGCATATCCTGTGGCCTCTTGCTGCTCTTCATAGCACAAGAAATGGGGACATGGTAGGCGAACTGTCCTTCCAGGGAGTTTTCATCTGTGTTGTTGTTGGTTTTTTTCCACTGAGAAGATAAGCTTCCAGAGATCCACATACTGTATTTTCAGGATACTCTGAAGATTTATGTGGGTGACCCAGAAGCCGTAATCTAGCCCATCCAAGTTGGCATCAACCACACATAGTTGAGCTTAACTTTATAAGTAAAAGACATTGGCCAGAATTACCCCATAATTGCAACCAGCTCATTGTTAACTAATGGCAATTTACCACCATGACTTACACCATTTTACTTTATGCTAGTATAAAATTGCAGTTGGAATCTGAACACTTAGTACAATTCAGAAGTTTACTTCTCCATTCTTGTGCATGAATTGTATGGCATTTGTTTGTTCTTTTGCCTTCCCTATTTCATATGGCTAGAATTGTCAGTTACTTATGAATTAATTCTCTATTAGAATTCATACAGTAATATCTGAAACTGGGTCCTTACTGCTCAGAGGCCAATTCTCAGAATGACCATTTTGCACACTTTTTATTGTAGTAATAAATAAACCAGTCCCTTGTGGAATAGAAGGCATGTGTATCAACGGAACAAATCTCTGCAGAATTAAGAGTGCTTTCTATATGTAGACCACATTGTGTCCGAGCTCGAACACAGAGCTAAGGGGGATGTCTGTTAACAGGTCTCCTCCAGATCCAATAAGCTGCAGCTCTAATCAGCCACAGCTAACACAGTCTTTAGGCAGGGTGATGAGTACTGTAGTAACAACATCAAGGCAGGGCAGGAATAACATGCTGATTGGGTGAGAGATCTGTCCTTCCATTCATTGTAAAGGACCATGAATATTGGTAGAGATGTGTAAATAAATAATCATTTGATCATAGAAATATCCTTCACGATATTATTTCTGAGTAGTTACTGCTTCTTCCAAATTTCCGGATTATTACTTAGATGTTACATTTCCCTTTGTTCCATTGCTTGGCTTATTAACATTTTATTAGTTTTCACTATATCAATATTCAGTTCGTGCTTCTTAAACATCATGTTACATGGGTTGCTCATAATAATTATTTTTGCATCTTGGTGTCTTAGTTGTTTCTTCAGAATCTATACTTTTTTAAACATTTGAACCAATTGTGTGTATATTTTAATGTATAATGTTGACTACTATCATAATATTGCTCTCATAATAGACAATATTCTCAAAATCCTCTAATTAAATACAGTGGACCCTCTACTTAAGGAATTAATCCATATTGGAATGGTGGCTGCAAGTCGAAAAGTCTGTAAGGCGAATCTCCATTGACCTACAATGCACTGAAAACCGATTAATCCCATAACCAGTGGTTTTTATTCTATTTTTATTCCATTTTGGTTTTTTTCTGGTCTGTAAGTTGATTCTCTGGCTGCAAGTCGAATCTAAATTTTGCAGCCAGAGAAGTCTGTAATTCGAAAAGTCTGTAAGTCGAGCTATCTGTAAGTCGAGGGTCCACTGTACCTAGTAATAGCAATTCTGGTTTCAAATCTATATAATTTGAGGTAATTTAACCAGCCAAATTTGTATTTTTTACCAATAATAACTAAATAGGTTTCTAACACATAATAAATGTTGTTTAAAGCATTTTATATACATTTTCTTTTTATAATTGTTTAGCTATTTCAATCACCACAGTTTCTGTCATGTCTATATCAATATCATATCAAGTATATATTAATTACTATTTGTTTTACCCCTTTCTTATATCTAGCTTCAATTTACCTTAAGAGTCACCTTGTTATGCCTATACCCTGATTAGTGATCCCTTATTTCAGATTGACTCCCTTTTCTAATATATATGTCCCCTTACAATTCCAGAAGTTAGATGTATACATGCTTTCAACCTTGAGGGCCCCTTAATATTTTTTCCTTTACATCTTCCTAAGTAACTCCTCCTCCAGTTAGTCTTTTCCCAATTCTTATTCCTATCTTTCTAAAAATTATTGTACCGTCTGAAATCATTCTGTGCACTTCCAATAGATCTTTCAGACTGTTTTCAATTAAATCTGCTGGTTCTCTCCCCTTAGCACACCTAAGACTCCTTCAACTCCAGGGTTAGAGTCAGATCTCCAACATTTTCTCCTCTGCTTTCCTCCAGCCCCTCCTTTGGTTGGCATACATCATCCACCACCATGACATTTTCTTGTTCATTATTCCCTGTTTCCTGTTGGATGTAGTCCTTCCTTAGCTGTTCATTGAATAATTTCGCCTCTTCGTTATGGGATCTCACTATTTCTAAAATTGCTTGAAGAGCAGATTTTGTTTCATCCTAAAATTTTCCTTGTAACATTCTGTCACGAGATGATTGTATTCCAAGTAAAAGTTGTCCAATTGCTTAAACTAATCAGTTCAATTCCATTAATAATTGCTTCAATAAATCCACTTTAATAACTTTATCATCTTTAGTGTTAAATTTGAGTTCAAGGACATTTGCTCACCAAATATCACAGTCCAGTTCACTCGATGTTTGTATTCACCTGAAGTCTTTTGTAATCCAGCCCCAGAAGCAGTCCATTCCAGTATTAGTTCTATTCTGGCCTGTGCTCCTGTCAGGTTCAGAACCCAGGATACATCCAAATGTTTTTATTGGCCCACATATGTCCATTAGTCAGATATATATTCCAAGATGAATTGTCTTTGATCAGAGCTCAGTTGTGAGTCTACATCCCAAAGTACAGTTTAAATTTTCCACTTTGGCAGGATTAGACTTTCCAGGGTTAATATGTCTATGCTTCAGTCAGTCCTCAAAAAAAAAAAAAAAAAAAGGAAATAAAAACTAATTCCAAGTTTAGAATCGCCACAGAGTGCTCAAGGTCATTGTTCTGGGCTTTCCGTCAACACTGTAGATAGCCATAACATAACAAGCTTAACTCCTAGAGTTGCTTAGCTAATAATGATTTTAAGAGAAAGATTTCTTAAGTTTCCTTAAGTTTAACCTTCCAATGCCAAAGTAATACCAAAATTTCTCACTGAAATATAGCTAAATGTTCAATTAGTGTCCAATTGTTGTAAAATATATCTCACCCAGTGGTAACGATGATGTTAATTAGCTGATTTATTGCTTTTCTATTTGCCGGCTGCCAATGACTTGCAAATGTATTCAGCTAGCTTGTTTCCACCAGCTGGTTGATTGGGGATTTTCCTGGATCAAAACAGGAGTAACTGCCTTCCCTCCCCCCCCCCGTGATCAAGAGGCTTCTCCTCCAATTCACCACCTCTTCAGTGTGGTTTTAACCCCCTGGGGGGTTCCAAACAGGTCAGAATTCAGCCCAGGGAATGGAGCTCTGTTCTCCTGCTGCTGTCCCATTGCAGCGTCAAGCTGGAAGTCACCTTTGCTCCATTGCTTGATTAGCATTCCATTTTGTTAGTGAAAAGAGGTCTTGTCTCTGTTTCTGTGGAGCAAAGCAAAATTAAACGGGGGGTGCCCACTGTGCTGTGATCTGTCCTGAATGATGCACAAATTGTACAGTGTTTCGTCAAGTCATTGTTTTAAAGACACAATCATCCGTATGTGTACTTTGGGGTGTACTTCTGTGAGATCACAAACCAATCAAACTCTCATCATCTCTGTTGAAAAATGCTTCTGTTTATACATTGTTTGGGATTTAGCAGCCCCAAAACTTATAATAACCAAGGCCTTGTGTTCTAGGGCATAACTGGAATCCGTTTTGCTGGAGGAGAGAAATGCTACATAAAAACTCAAGCTAAAACTCACATCCCTGAAGTCAATGCAATGACAAAAGAGAGCCTCTCGTTTGATCTGGTAAGTGGTTGCTGAAATATGCTTAAACTTAAAAAATACAGCTATTTTCAAAGGACTGTCAAGTATGACAGGGTACGAGGAGTCTTGACACAACATGTGGGGACTGTGTTCTCTTCGTAACAGAGCTTGCTTGAACTAGCAGCAACAGGTTCGTTTTATTCAGAGGGCAAAGTGCGCATTTGCCCAGGACCCACAGTCTGTAGGGGCCTACATGAAGAGGGTTAATGGAGCAGCCAGAGCAGCAGCAGCTGCCACCGGCCAGGAGCCATCGAGGCTATGAGCTCAAGGCTGGCCCGGGTTAGCAGTGCGGTGCATGCAAGGTGGTGCTCTTGCCCGGTGAGCCATGGGGGGTGGATGGTGGGCAGATGGTGCTCAGTTCCTTCACTCACAACGTCCTGCCCCCAACAGTCCACCACGGTCTCGCTGCTGCCCCCGGGGAAAGAGCTGTGGAGCCCTCCGGCAGGCGCACTGCCCTCTTTCACCTCCTCTGCTGCTACTTCCCTGGAGAATGGCTGCGGCTGCCGTGGGTGCCTCCAGGGTGGCTGATCCGGGTGGCATCGCTGACTGGGTGACATCGCTGCGCAAGCAGGAAGTGCTGCTGGCCACTGCTGCCCAATGAGGAAAAGGGTGCGCTCTTGCACCTCGAGGACTTTTTCTGTGGCCCCAAGGGTGCCAAGCCACTGGAGGTGCACACGGCCATCTTCACCCTTGGCTATTCTCACAAGAGTTCTTGAGCTCAAACACCCCCACAAGACCTGCTTCTCCCAACAGAAGTTCAGGTGAGGAAGGGAGGAAGAAAGGCTGACTGAGACCTGCAGGGCACTCTGCTTAGGCTCAAAGGCACTCCTCCCATCACTGCCCTCAGTTGGGTGGCAGCAGCTGTTCCTTCAAGACAGCGGCAGCCCTCCACCTCCTCCTGCACCTGAGCTCAGAGTCCTGAGACCCCACGCCACAGGCAGCCTCCCTCTCATAGGGGGCCTGCTCTGGATTGCAGCCTCAGCATGCTCTGCCCACAATGTGCACAACGTTTCCTCTTCTCTGGCCATGTGCAGAGTGCCTCGAAGCTCAGCTTGAGGCTTCCCTTGCATCATTCTTCCCTCATAAGCTAGACATTATTTTCATTGTTACTGTTTTTTTTAATCTAAGCATTGTCCACTTCTTTACTGCTACCAAGATTACCTTGGTAAAGCAGTCTTATTTACGTTATATGACATTGTTTATGTTGTGTGATCTATTTAGGTGGGAGGTAAGGGGGAGGGGGGAAGGAGGAAGACCCCCACACACACACTGTTATATTTTTTGCCCAGGGCCCACCAGAGCCTTGAATTGGCCCCGAGCAATCAGTACAGAGAAGCCTTTGAAAGCAGCTATGGGTATTTTAAACAGATGCTCCCAGAGGAAAATTCAGACTTTGCCAGCTCCTCCTCTTCCCTTGCCAGCTGAACTCTGCAATGCTGTTCATTCCCAAGCTGAGCTAAGCTTTAGGCCTAAGATGTTGTTTCAAGCCTAAAAGAGCTGGGACTGGCACTCACCAGTAGCCCCCACCCATCTGTGACTGTAAGAGTGGAGTTCAACCTGTTCTCTCAGCGGCTGGCAGTTAGTAGAATTAGGCAATAAACCTCGTTCCTCTTCAAACCAACAGCTAAAGGGTGAAGCACATTGAGCTCCATGCTCAGTATTGTTTTGTTTCAGCAGTATGTCTAGCATTGGAAGAGAAGCTCCTTTGCAGCAGCCACCGCCACAGCATCTTACTGGCAGGTCACACCTCATTTACATTCAAGGTCTTAATTTGTTGTTCCTTGCTAGTTTGTAAGCCTTGACCTTTTCTGTGCCCCTTTCCCTACCTCACACTACAAGAGCTATACAGCTAATTGCTACAGACCCTTGAAGAACATTGCCAAGAGAAGGATAGATAATGTTGGGTAAATAATACAGTGGTGCCTCAACTTACAAACGTCCTGACATACAACCATTTCGAGTTACAACCAGCTCTGGCTGCAAAATTTTGCTTCGACTTGTGGCCGGAGCTTTGAGTTACAACCAGAAAAAGGCAGGGGGAAAAGGCAGGGAATTCAAATTGCTAACCGTTTGTGGCGAAGAGGCTGCTTCTTTGTAGCTCTTTTGCCCCAGCAGGTAGAGAGTGTGAGATCGGAGGCAGCTTCAGACTGCCTGGTAAGGTAAGGTGCTGCTTTCTACTTTTTCTAAACTGTTCTGGGGAGGGGGGGTTGCAGCATGGTTTTGGGCTGGATGGTGGGATTATGTTTCTGTCCTGTGATGGATCTTGCTGGGTTTGTTTGTTGTTTGTTTTTTTCCCCATTTCCAATGGGTCTTGTGGAGTTTGCTTTTTGCTTTGCTTTTTTTTGCATTTCCGATGGGTCTTGCATGGCTTTTTGCTTTGCTTGTTTTTCTTTTTTTGCATTTCTGAAGGGTCTTGCACGGTTTGTTTGCTTTTCTTCCCCTCCCACTTTGGCCGGAATGGATTAATCGCATTTCCGATGGGTCTTGCAGTGTTTAGGGAGTGGGTTGGTGACTTTTTTCTTCAGCTGGAACGGATTGCTTGCATTTCAATTTGTTCCTTCGACTTACGACAATTTCGAGTTACAACCGGAGTTCCAGAACCAATTAAGTTCATACGTCGAGGCACCACTGTATTGGTTAAACTGTCCTAAGGCCTTCTGCTTATCTTAAAACAGTGTACTTGATAAGAGGGAGGCTCTAGAAAAGGGTGGAAACTAGCCTGTGACAAGGGTCCCAGAACCTAGAGAATGAAGAGAGGATAGAAGAACAGGTCACAAAGACATCTTTGTTCGTCCCATGTTGTCTCCGAAGGAAATGACAACTTGATTGAGCATGCTTTGAAAGCCTCATCTTTCCCAGTAACGAAAGCAAAGGGGCAGGCAAACCTAGCATTTGGAGATGTTATTTCTTATTTTGTCTAAGAGGATGTGGATTTTAAGGGGAGGGGACTTTTGGGGGGGGAAACTTTCCACTTCTTTGGTCTCAGAGTCTAAAATAAAGATGGATTTCTGTTTCACAGAATAAATGAGCTATCAGATTGAACCTTCATGGCAAATTAACTGTTGTCAGACTATCAAAAAAGGTGTGGAAAACATTTACAGTTTTCAAGGTAGTGAGTTTCATCCAAAGTGCTCATGGTCAGCACTGCCACCAACCCAACACATTAGTAAGTACACAGGCAGGGCATCCCTTAGTTCAGAGCACATGGTTTCTGTTGCTTGGTTGCTGTTTGCCAAGTTTTTTTTCCTTGAGGTCTTTTGGTCTTTTTCTTAAAATGCTGTCTGACTTAGAAATATCAAAACTGTATATTGTAATAGAAATTGAAATGAACTTAGTTATTAAATGCAAAAGACATCATTAATGAACCTCTCTTGCCAATTGTTTGTGCTTTGGGTGAAAAAGTAATACTAACTTATCCAGCACCAATGTTCTTGTCCTGGATGAGAAAATATTCTGGAAACTATTCCATGAAAGTAGATTGGCATTGTGGATTGCAAACTAACAACATCTCTGAGCTGATCATGCCACTGGGGTATTTTGTCCAGTTTGGGGGTAATGCTTTTAAAGAAAGCTATCAGGGAGTGGGTGGGTGGGAGGAGACGCAAGAGAACAAGAGCAGTTTTGACCTGTACAGCAAGTAGGAAAAATGTAATGGAGTGGGTTTGCCTGAGAGAAAAAGTGGGGGAGAGAATAATTGTCTTGAAATATTAAAAGGCTGCCCTGCAGACAATGGAAAAGCAGTTGTTTACTGCCAGCAAGAGAAACGAGTTGTGTCTTTGTTAGAGATTTCTTTATACTACACTGGATCAACATCCATTAGGGATGGTTTAAATTTTGGAGAACCCTTCCCCAGAATATGAGATTAGATTTTATTATCCATTTCATGATGCTGTGAAAGATTTGGTTCGTACTAGGCATGGCTTCCAGTTCCACTGTTAAATTAATATGATGGCTCTGATTAGAAGTCTTGTTCAGTAAAAGCAATTATGTTGACCAAAAGCTTGAAGTGCAAGTTGAAAAGAGCCTTCGTTTTGAAGTGTACCCTAAAGGTTTTTCATTCTCATCTTCAAAGCAATGTAGGAAAATGTAAGTGATTGAACTAGAAACTTTAAGGAATCTAAGTATTATTTTTACACAAGAGAGAACTGCTATTCCTCAGCACCAAAGGGGAAAAAAATCACTAAAATGGCACATGATTCCAGAGGGCAAAATTCTGAATGGCCTCTGTAGTGAAGTCTTTGCAATTTCTGTTGATACCTCACTAGATCACTATTTAGCCAAGTTGTTTGCACAGCTTCATTATTAATTTTGCAACTGGTTCCTGTGCTCTGAAGGCCAGATTCAACTTTGTTTTTCACTCTTTCTTTTGGCCATTTTTTGAGGGAAAATTTTTGAGAGCTTTTCAGAAATAAAAATAGGTGAGTAGTTTTAAACTACTACCACCACTTTGAACTAGAGATAAATTCCTTTCTGATGCCTGCAAATACTAGTTTAATTCTATTTGATATAGTGAAATGTGAACCAGGACATTTACAATGTAATCTTATTTGTTCTTTTACATCAGTGCACAGATTACCATAATGCAATGCCAAAATTGCATAATTAGCCAGAAGAGTCATGAAATGAAGAAAAATGGAATAATTCAGCTACAATATCCAGTTGACTAAATCATCCATCCTAGCACCAGGTACGTTGCTTTGTATACTGTGTTTGATCTTTTGAGCTGAAGTACACAAAGCAACATACCTGGGAGTTGTGGCAGTTGTGGGAAGCGGGAAGAATGGTCAAGAAAGGAAAACAGTGTGAGCAGGAAAATGCTACTCCTGCTCCCTCTGTGGAACAGTGCGGCTTAGTACTCATGCCACATCCCTAGGTTTTCTTAGTTGACTGAACTTAGGTATGGGATCCACTGTGAATGAACAGGAGACTCTTACTAGAGTTGTTGCACAGTTAGGTTAGTTTTAATTGTTTTAAAGGCAGATAGTGCATCAGTTGATGAACTCCATGAGTCTGCCATCATATATACCTAGGAATACATCCCCCTGAATTCAGCCGGACTTATTTGAGAATAGACAAAAGTTTGCACTGTATTTTTCCTATAATGCAAGAGCCGGTAATCCTTAGTAATGTCAGTATGTAAATTGTGGCAGTGAGAAATCCCATTAATTTAATATCTTCTTAAAATGTCTGCAAAGAGTTTAAATTTAGCAAGAGGACAGACTTGTCACTCATTATGAGATCTCTTCTCTTCCACTACTCGCAGGGTTCAATTCAAACTCTCTTCCCCACGCCAAGTGTACTCTTTTTTGTTTATCCATAACCCTAGGCAAAGTGCTGCTAGATACATTCATTTGGCTCACTCACATATTCCACTTTTTTTAGTTCAAAACTGTGATCTCACATCATTAGGTAACACAATATTCAACAAATTCTGGGATAATGTTTTACAGAAATAGTACACCTATTTTTCTTTTATAGTCCCCTTTGCTTTCATCCAAGGAAAGTAGAGAGGGGGAAAGAACTGCTACTTAAAAAGAAGGAGCAAGAGCAATTTGGATCCGTTTAGGATTATTCACATACTCAACTGAACCCATAAAAATCCTATATCCTAGTGTATACAATCCTCTAATTTGCACAGTTCACACATTCTGTAAGAACTGTACAAATGAAGCAGATATACAAACCTATCATCCATGTCATATGCAAAGTCATGGTGCACATACCCCCACCTTGGGACTATTGTTTCTGCCCCATAAACAGTAATGACAGCATCTTGACAACAGACCATTCTACTCCTTCACATTGTCTTTTCTTTAGTATAGAATAACAATATTTCTCTTAAGATGAAGGTTCCCAGCCATTGTGAGCTATTCTCAAAGAGAATCAAAATAAGAGTGAAAGAAATTTTAAATGTAAAGTACAGTATATGCCTGAAGAACAAGGGGACACTTACTTTGGCGAACCTTTGACTATTGTGAGCTTTTGATTTGATAGGCAACACACAGATGCACACTCTACAACTTCTTTCAGTTATGCTAACTACTAATGTGTTTTGTTTTGTTTTTTGTTTTTTTTTCTTTTTCTTTCCACAAACAGGAAGATGAAATAATGCCAGCTAAATTCGATGAAAACTCTCTTGTTTGGGTTGCTGCAGACCAGCCAATAAAGAATAACAATTTCCTGAGTCCCAAAATTTTAGAGCTTTGTGGAGATCTGCAGATTTTCTGGCTTCAGCCATCCTACCCAAAAGGTAACTTTTCACTCACGTAAAGCCTTTACTTCTATTATATTTTAGGTTTAAAATTTAAACCTCTCACTGTGCCTATTCAAGACCTTCCATGTAAGGTCAGCATCCAAAGAGAAGAAGCTGCAGCTAAGGAAGCTTACGCTATTATATACCAAACCATCCAGCTTGTTCACTTAACCCAGTTATTTTCTCATTTGACTGGTGGCAGTTCTTCAACTGGGTATTCCAGCCAAGTTGGAACTATTGTGTGAAATGTGTCTACTACTCAGTTGCAACCACTACTGTTGGCTTTTGATATACGAGGGAGTTGTGTGTTTTTTTAAACTTAGCAGCCAATGGATACAATCTGTAAAAGCAGCATACCTGAACCATTTAGCCTCACTACTTTCTTGCTAATGTATTCAAAATATTTTGAACCTGCTTTTCTCCTTTAAAAGGACCCAAGGTGACTTACAATTGAAAGACAGTATTTAAGCTGATAACAGTGAGTTTACAATACTAATAGTATGAATACAATACAAAAAAAACCATAAGCAAACACATTCAAAGCAGTTAGGCACAATCATCCCTTTTTAAAAAACCCACTCAGTTAGCCATTCACTCAGGAAAAGCTTGCCGGAAACAAAAGGATAGCAAAGATGGCCTCCTGTGCTAGGGAGTTCCAGAGTCTGGGAGCAGCAACAGAGAAGGCTCTCTCTCATGTCTAAGAGCCGTGTAGCACTGTCAGCATCTATAGATTTATTGTTGATCTAAGCATGTATAGATTACAATATTTCACAGTGTTGGAATATGGCTGCCTTGTGCAGTACACTCTTCTGCAAAACACTGAAATATACTCAAATCCATTTTAGCTTGGGGGGGCTTATAAGATGCAGGCTGAATTTCTTAGTGCTTAGCATATTCTAAAGCAAGCTTTATATCTAATATCTATAGTTGGGCAAAGAAGAAAGAGAGGGGCTACTAGGAAAGCACGCCAGACCAACTTGGATATGGACCAATTTGAAGCTGCTGCTGAAGAAGTAAACACTAGACCACGTACCAGCCCGCAGACTCAGCGGCGTGAACGTCCATCTAACACTACCCAGCCTTCTGAAAGAGATGTCAGACCAGCTTTTAATCCAGATAATCCTTACCATGTGAGTACTGGTTAGCAGTGGGAGACTTCTGCAGCATTGGTCATCCATCTACACACGCCTTGCCTCTTAGTCTCCATAGGTGGCTTTTAAAAAAATGTCTCAGTGGCTGACTCTGCCTTGCTGCTCACCTCCTGATGCTGGCAAAAATAGCTGAGCTGAGAGGCAGCAAACAGCCATTCACTGGACTGGATTGGCTATCCTTTTGTGAACAGGAACCAGGGGAAATTCATTAACCATGAAAAAATATGTTCACTTGGTATTTCCACTCTTTGCTATGTGACAGGTCAGGATAGATTAAAATCGTTGTGTGCCTTCTTCATATGGGACATAATTGGGGCCAGCAAGTGCTTAGAGCAGGCAGACAAAAGTGTACTCTTTTATTAAGGATGGCTGCTAGTGTCCTGTACTGGATAGAGTGATGCACTACAACTCAGGAAGCCTGGATTCAAATCCTCTCTCGGCAATGGAAACTCACTGGCAGGGTGGAACTGGTAAAACTACTCCTTGAATATCTCACGTACCTTGAAAGCCCTTTTAGGGTTGCCACTGACTGCAACTTGGCAGAAACATAAAAATACTGCTTAACTGCATCCACAAATTACACCATGAAAAATGAGCACACAAAAACAATAAGTCTAGAAATTGCTCAAAATTTGCTTCCACTTGTAGATTTTCTCTCTGATAAGATGTATTGCTCTTTAAAGGTCTAGCAATAGGGAAAACTCCCAGAATAAGCACAGATAACAAAGATTCAATCACAATTATTTGAAACAGACCTATCTGATCAAAAGGTCCAATATATTTCAGATGGAAATAGAATTTTAAGGCTTGAGTCACCTACCTGCCTAACCACACTTTAAATGGGAGGGGAAGAAAAAAAAAAGTGGGGTAATAAATGAGAGAGATATTTTAAAAAGGGAGTAATTAGTGGGATAAGGAGCAGAAAAACTAAATAGTATACCCCTTAAAAGCCCTGTGTGAACACCCGCCTAAAAAAAGAGTAAATGCTGAAGTAAAATGTGACCTAACAAAAGTCCTCCCCAGTGTCCCACTAATGAAAATGAACAATAAAGAAAAAAAGTTTTTTTTAAATTGAGTATGTATTTTTTCAGCACACAGTAGTGGCTGGAAGCTGGAACACACAGAGGCACCAGCAGGGAAGCAACCAGCCACCCACAGATACACAAGCGCTCAGGAACAAATTGGGGGGAGAGGGCAATATACACACACACACACAAAATCACCCCCAGAGATCACCCACACTACCCTAACCCTAACCTCAAAAAATAACTAGTCTCTAACTGAAATGTACCCGCAGCTAAAGAAATCCCACCCCAAATTCCGAGTATTTCAAATAATGAAATAAATGAATTCAATGTAATAAAAAAGTATTTGCTTTGCTGCCACAAAAGTGAAAGAATAGCAAAGCACAGCAATTTCAACAGGCTGGAGTTTTGATCAGAGAAGACAGGAATTGATCAGCAGATTCAAAGATGGAGTATTGGTTTTAATGGCCAGTTATTATAAAGGCCAACAGCAACAGGCAGCATAGGACTCTTCAATTCAAACTGTGCAGCAGCGCTGGGCAACTAAACTGAGTAAAGTCAAAATATATTTAAAGGATCCAGTGCTCAACTGCGAGATGACTCTTCTACTCACAAGTGACAGATGAACTCAGACATATACAGTAATGTTAGGCAAGTTCCACAGTAAGTAGCTGGCCAAAAGCGAATTGTAGCAGTTTTTGAAATGGTCTTGTACAGTTCTATAAAATTACTCTAATTACTCTGATTTCAGTTTAACAGAAGATCAAAGATAACAATTAGAGCAATAGGCAGTTTTTGAAATGCTCTTGTACAGTTCTTTAAAATTACTCTGATTTCAATTTAACAGAAGATCAAAGATAACAATTAGAGCAATATAAAGCAATTTAAGGATGCCAAATGCAATTTGTCAGATAAAGACACTGGGTTGATGAAAATATACGAAGTCAGAAAGTGAAAAGCAGGCCCACTTGTGGTAATATACCGTATTTTTCGCTCCATAAGACGCACCTTTCCATAAGACGCACCAATTTTTTAGGAGAAGAAAACAGGAAAATATCATCTGTTTTCTTCCCTCCATAAGACGCACAGACTTTCCACTCCCCTGTTTTGTGGGGAAAAAGTGAGTCTTATGGTGCAAAAAATACGGTATGACTCCTGCTTTTTATTTTCTCCATAGTCCTTTTAAGAGTGTTCCTTTTAAAGCAGAATATTAAGATAGTTTGTACATTGCTTAGAAAATAGGAGTAACACATTCTGCAGAAAGGCGAAGCAAAATGGCCTTTTCAGTCCTATCCATCCTCTTGTTCAGATACTCAAGAGTAACAAAGCTAATAATTAACTTGCAATACTGCACGGAGCTTGAAAAAGTTATTTGTAGAAAACTATTCCCAGATAGTTGGGAATAGAACAACTGGCGAGGATGATTGGGAAATTTTAGAGTTGCAATCTGTATTACAATCAATCATTGATCAAATTTGTAATTTTATCAATGAAAATGTTGAGAAGAAAACATGTAATTTTAACTGAATATCAATATATGGAATGATTTATGACATTCAGATTGTTTATGACTCTTATCAGTAGATTCTAGTGTCACAGGGAAAAGTTATCCACCTTCCCCAGCTACTGGTGCACTTCTTTCCCATCTCCTGAATTATTTGGTCAATTATTGCCATCTGCTATTGAAGATTACAAAATGGACAACATTGTATGCTTAAGAGCAAGTGAATCCTGTATCAACTGTACCAGGGAGCTTCTGAAGATTGAAATCATAGGTCACAATCTGGGACACCATTACACCCACATAAATGACTCCAATTTAAAAGCATATTAATTTTGGGCTTGATCTTAGCCAGTTTTTATTGTTTTAAAATATTATATTCAAGTGCTTCTTGGATTTTTACATTTCAGCAACTAGAAGGAGGTGAAGGAATGTCTTTTGATTCACGGCTAGATCATGAAGGTGTCTGCTGTATCGAGTGTAGACGGAGCTACACACATTGCCAACGAATCTGTGAGCCTCTCCTGGGCTACTATCCATGGCCCTATAACTACCAAGGATGCCGTTCTGCTTGCCGACTTATCATGCCTTGCAGCTGGTGGGTTGCCCGCATCTTGGGCATTGTATAAAGACGAGTCTTGCATGAAGAGGCCCAGGACTATGAAACGGAAATTGCTATGTACCTTTAAATTCTATGTATGCTAAATGTAAATAAGTTGAAAATCTCAAATTAAAATTTCACTAGTTCCACAAATGCAGAGTTGGAATCTGGCAGTCTTTTGTAAAACCATACCCTCCAATGCCTGCTGAAAGTGGATTTTTTAAAAAAAAATTGTCTAGAGACAGTTTAAATCTTTTGCTTATGAATAAAAGCTCCCTCAGAAACTGGAATTCAGCCTCTCTTTGTGTTGTGAAACAGATGTGAAAATTTGTCCAATTAGATTATTAGCCAGAACTTGCTTTTGGGAGTACCTTTCAATCACGCAGAGCTTGACAAATAAATCATAAGTGGAGCTGCTCTCTGTTGTTATTTATAAAGAACTAGTAGATCATTACAGAGCTGTTAGAAACCAATTACAGCACATTTTTCCTACTGAGCTGCTGCAGGAAGGGAAGTGCTGGGCTAAAGAACAGAAGCACTAACAGAATCCAAATATTGGGACTGCGGCATGGAGCAGGCCCCACAAAGACAATCAGATCTCTTCAGGAGACCAACATCTGAAAGGCTCCCAAGTTACTCCTGTCACTAGTACCTTGTTAGTAGCAACTGTTTGGTTTTTAAGACTCTATAGTGGAAAATGAGTACTAACATCATAGTTTACAACCTTTAGATACATTATACAATTGTAGAAATGGCTAGAACTTGTACACCTACCATTTTTTTCAAATATGTGTGTATTCATATTAGATTGTAAGCAGTCTAAAAATCTGAGAGTCTACAATCAGTAAACAGCTCTGTACCCGATAAGGCAGCTATGGGGAGAAGCAGTCATGCAGTCCAATGCTTTGCCACTAGTAAAATATTGTGAAGCATTTTTCTTTTCAGCCAATCATGAGAATGAACAGGTGCGATAGAGATTACCATTGTGCTGGTGCACATACACCACACATACAGTGTGTATATACATTCTAAATTTGGAGAAGCATTTTGACTATCATTTTCTGCTCCATAATATGCAAACCATGAACAATTTGCCTGTTAACAGGTACAAAGCACAATTTCTCTCTAAATCAGTCACTAGACTAGGTTTTGAGATTAAACATTTCCAAAATTGACATGGACTATCTTCAGCATTACTTTCTCCTACCTGGCCAAGTTTCATATGTTTTCAATATGTTACAATACTTAAAGCAGTTTTCAGATACTTGAAAGGCTGTCATTCAGAGGAGGGGCAGGATGTCTTCTCTATCATGCCAGAGTGCTGGACATGCAACAAAGTGATAGGAAGCCAGATTTCGGTTGAATCTCAGGAAAAACATCCTGTTAGAACAGTAAGACAGTGGAACCAATTACGTTGAGTGCTCCAACACTGGATGCATTCAAGAGAAATTTAGACAACCACCTGGCAGACATCCTTTAATTTGTATTCCTGCATTGAGCAGAGGGTTGGACACAACAGCCTTATAGGCCCCCTTCCAAATTTATTATTCTGATTCTATGAAAACACTTTTCTTGCAGATCACGATTCAACTGTCTCACCTTTAGTGCTGTGATTGCAGCCTTATAATACATATTTTAAGTGAGATTCATCCATAGCATGGTACAACCATCTGACAACCTGTGATTAATGCATCTTTTAAAAGTATATTTTAACCCATGCAAAAAAGTTTATTGAGTCCTAGAAACTGTCAAAATATAAATGCCACTGCAACTTAGAACAACACATTTAGATATGACAGTTTTGATTCCTGTGTTGCCATGAATAGGATTGCTCCTACTTGAAGCTCAAAATAAGCCTCTGCACAGGAAAATGTAATCTAAAGGTACTGACACACCCATATGTTCTTCCTTTACCATAGGTAACTAAGACTTCTTGGAAGAATCTACAAGCTTTAGTAATGTTTTAGCTTTTACTAATGTCCAATAATGTGCTTTCAAGGCTTGATAAAAAGGGAGTATCAAATGTTAGTTTCTTCTTTCGAATGGAAATGGGAGGGGGAGCCCACTGGATACTCAACTTATGGTTTTATGTTTAGCTCGGAGACTGTATAATCATAAATGTGCTTGTGTGCTTGTATCTACCTTGACTGAGAAAGATGGAATGTTTTAAGAGTGGCTGATAGAAGTTTTAACTTAATGGAAAATTTATAGAGGTTTTACCTTCAGGGAAAACTATTATATATCCATTACATATGCCTCAAGAGTATATACAAGCCCATGAAATTATTTTACCTGAAGCAACAGAATGCCAATGAAGTAAAAACATATTAATGGAAGCTAAGGATTGTTCAGAGGCTTCATTTTCCTTTTATCTATAAAGGGTTATTTTCCCAGAGAGAAAAATAGAAATCTTTTTTACTTGTTGCTAATATACCATATTTACTTTGATTTGTGCCACACCACCAAACACAAAAGCTACCAATGTTTCAGCAAAGCTTTACTTCAACTCTGATGAGAAACAACTCACTAATATGCATCCCTTCAATCACTACATTTCAATGCTGTACATATTTATTGAATGCAATTTCCACGGAAAGTTTGGAAATTCATATTCTTAGACGATATTAAAATGGTTTATTGCAAAATCTGAAGCTGGAAAGTGATTTAACGCAAATGGAAGAAACTTATGCTGGTGGCGGTACTGCAATGACCTCCTCCTATCTAACAGTCAGTAAGTATACAACTGAAATAGTTTCAATGGCTCACCATACTCACATTTACAAAATTCTCCTGAACCGACAACATATTGAAGATACAACCAAAATGGAAGGAAGCTGGAACTTGTGCATTGTTTCCCTCTGGAATTCTAAGTGATTTGAAAAAGATGTTCATGATGTTCATTCCATTTCACCAGCTATATGATTTCAAAAGCCCATTCAATTAGAGGTGGTAGACAAATGAAAACCATCCATGATACAGCAAGGAGAAAGGACCTCTTGCTCAACTTTTAATAAACTTACTCCAGACTTAAAATTAAGAGAAGACTTCTAGGAAGGAACTTAGGCTAAGTCTTCATAAACAGAATACTACAAATCAGAGCAAGTATGTGGTAAAATATGGAAATATTCTGATAATATTATGCCATCTAATAGCAAACCACAATATGTCAAAGGCAAGCAAAATATTTATTTTGCTGTCCATCTCAGTGTACTATACTGTTTGCATCTCATAATTATGCATAACAGCCTGCATTGTTCCAAAACAACCACCATGCTTAAAGACAGAATAATAGCATAGTCAGGGCTCTTTAAAATATCAATGCTTTTGTGGGAAACTAGGCTGAGTGAGAGAAAGATACTAATAAAAACCCTTGGCCAATATCAGTATTATTAAACATACTGATCAAAGTTAATAAAACTAGTTTTCATCATATATAAATAATAATAAAATGTGCATTAGTTCACTAACATTATGGGGGAAGTGTACCACCTGGGGATATGAAAATGATGGAAGAGAAAAAAGTTCTTTCCAGCTTTTGTGACTCCCACAACTGGGTGCCACACCTTTATGGCCTAATCTGAAGTTAAATGCATTCAATTAACCTAACATAGTTTATTTTCCTACTGCCTCCACTGAGATGGCAGCCCTACTCCACAACTTTGAAAAATGAGTCTGGCACAAAGGGGTGCTCTCAAGCTATTCTATTAGGCATCCTTCAGTCTCGAAAGACTATGGTAACATGCTCTGTATGAAGGACTTGGAACAGCGTCTAGTGTGGCTGAGGAGGCCAATTCGAGAGACAATCTCTTCCACACTGAAGACAAATCCAATCTGTCCCCAGTCCAGCTCCCTGGTTTTGCTGCTTTTGTGACTTCCTCTTTGCCTCAGCCTGCTGGACAAGGGTCTCTTCAAATTGGGAGAGGCCGTGATGCAACGCCTGCCTCCAGGCTGAACACTCGGATGTCAGGGTTTCCCATCTGTTGAGGTCTATTCCTAAGGCCTTCAGATCCCGCTTGCAGATATCCTTGTATCGCAGCTGTGGTCTCCCTCTGGGGTGATTTCCCTGCACTAACTCTCCATACAGGAGATCCTTTGGAATCTGACCATCAGCCATTCTCACGACGTGCCCAAGCCAACGTAGACGTCGCTGTTTCAGTAATGTATATATGCTAAAAAATTCCAGCTCGTTCTAGGACTACTCTATTTGGAACTTTGTCCTGCCAGGTGATACCAAAGATCCGTTGGAGGCAACACATATGGAAGGTGTTCAGTTTCCTCTCCTGCCATGCACAAAGGGTCCAGGACTCACTGCAGTACAGGAGTGTGCTCAGGACACAGGCTCTATAGACCTGGATCTTGGTATGTGTCATCAGTTTCTTANAGTCCACGCCCTGGCCCATGACTTGTGTTTTCTTCAGGCTGATTGTTAATCTAAAGTCTTGGCAGGCCTTGCTGAAATGATTCATGAGTTGTTGGAGGTCCTCAGCAGAGTGGGCAACAACGGCTGCATCATCTGCGAAGAGGAAGTCCCGAATGCATTTCAGTTGGACTTTGGTTTTTGCGGCTGAATGAAATGTAAAAAAATCAACCCTGTCACTAAAAGAGAAAAATTATCTGTTTTTACATGGGGCTGTCTGAAATCCATGTTCTCGGTTAAAATGCATAGTTAACAGTTGACAATATGTCAGTTACAGCAAAAATTCTGGTAATGAAACATAAACCCAATAAGTTAGAGATCATTAAAGAATTAATAAAATTTAACACACCACCAGTTTAGCAAAGTTGGCAAGTTATATTCAAAAGATGCAAAATTTATTATAAAAATATATAACATCTAGCTAACTTAAATACCTCTTCTTCATGGATTGCTGCCTTGGCGTGGCGAAGGGGCTTGAGTAACTCAGAGAAACTATGGGCTATGCCGGGCAGGGACACCCAAGACGGACAGGACATAGTGGAGAGTTCCGACTAAACGCACTCCACCTGGAGTAGGAAATGGCAAGCCACTCCAGTATCTTTGCCAAGAACGCCCCATGATCAGCAACAAAAGGCTAAAAGATATGACGCTGGAAGATGGGGCCCTCAGGTCGGAAGGCGTACAACATGCTACTGAGGAAGAGCGGAGAACAAGTACAAGTAGCTCCAGAGCTAATGAAGTGGTTGGGCCAAAGCCGAAAGGACGCTCAGCTGTGGAGGTGCCTGGAAGTGAAAGGAAAATCCAATGCTGCAAAGAAAAATACTGCATAGGAACCTGAAATGTAAGATCTATGAACATTGGGAAGCTGGAGGTGGTCAAACAGGAGATGGCAAGAATAAACATCGACATCCTGGGCATCAGTGAACTAAAATGGTCAGGAATGGGCGAATTCAGCTCAGATGATTATCATATCTACTATTGTGGGCAAGAATCCCGTAGAAGGAATGGAGTAGCCCTCATAGTCAGCAAAAGAGTGGGAAAAGCTGTAATGGGATACAATCTCAAAAATGATAGAATGATGTCAATATGAATCCAAGGCAGACCATTCAACATCACAATAATCCAAGTTTATGCACCAACCAGCATTGCTGAGGAGACTGAAATTGAACAATTCTATGAAGATTTACAACACCTTCTAGAACTGACACCAAAGAAAGATGTTCTTCTCATTCTAGGGCACTGGAATGCTAAAGTAGGGAGCCAAGAGATAAAAGGAACAACAGGGAAGTTTGGCCTTGGAGTTCAGAACGAAGCCGGACAAAGGCTAATAGAGTTTTGTCAAGAGAATAAGCTGGTCATCACAAACACTCTTTTCCAACAACACAAGAGGCGACTCTATACATGGAAATCACCAGATGGGCAATATCGAAATCAGATTGATTATATTCTCTGCAGCCAAAGATGGAGAAGCTCTATACAGTCAGCAAAAACAAGACCTGGAGCTGACTGCGGTTCTGATCATCAGCTTCTCATAGGAAAATTCAAGCTTAGACTGAAGAGATTAGGAAAAACCACTGGGCCACTCAGGTACAAACTAAACCAAATCCCTTATGAATACACAGTGGAAGTAAAGAACAGATTTAAGGAACTAGATTTGGTGGACAGAGTGCCTGAAGAACTTTGGATAGAGGCTCGTAACATTGTCCAGGAGGCAGCAACGAAAACCATCCCAAAGAAAAGGAAATGCAAGAAAGCAAAGTGGCTGTCCAACGAGGCCTTAGAAATAGCAGAGAGGAGAAGGGAAGCAAAATGCAAGGGAGATAGGGAAAGTTACAGAAACTTGAATTCAGACTTCCAAAGAATAGCAAGGAGAGACAAGCGGGCCTTCTTAAATGAACAATGCAAAGAAATAGAGGAAGATAACAGAAAAGGAAAGACCAGAGATCTGTTCAGGAAAATTGGACATATTAGAGGAACATTTTGCGCAAAGATGAACATGATAAAAGACAAAAATGGGAGGGACCTAACAGAAGCAGAAGACGTCAAGAAGAGGTGGCAAGAATACACAGAGGAATTATATCAGAAAGTTTTGGATATCCCGGACAACCCAGACAATGTAGTTGCTGACCTTGAGCCAGACATCCTGGAGAGCGAAGTCAAGTGGGCCTTAGAAAGCCTGGCTAACAACAAGGCCAGTGGAGGTGATGGCATTCCAGTTGAACTATTTAAAATCTTGAAAGATGATGCTGTTAAGGTGCTACGTTCAATATGCCAGCAAGTTTGGAAAACTCAACAGTGGCCAGAGGATTGGAAAAGATCAGTCTACATCCCAATCCCAAAGAAAGGCAGTGCCAAAGAATGCTCCATCTACCGTACAATTGCACTCATTTTGCACGCTCGCAAGGTTATGCTCAAAATCCTGCAAGGTAGGCTTCAGCAGTATGTGGACCGAGAACTCCCAGAAGTACAAGCTGGATTCCGAAGAGGCAGAGGAACTCGAGACCAAATTGCTAACTTGCGCTGGATTATGGAGAAAGCCAGAGAGTTCCAGAAAAATATCTACTTCTGCTTCATTGACTATGCGAAAGCCTTTGACTGTGTGGACCATAGCAAACTATGGCAAGTTCTTAAAGAAATGGGAGTGCCTGACCACTTTATCTGTCTCCTGAGAAACCTATATGTGGGACAGGAAGGAACAGTTATAACTGGTCATGGAACCACTGAGTGATTCAAAATTGGGAAAGGAGTACGGCAAGGCTGTATATTGTCCCCCAGCTTATTTAACTTATATGCAGAATACATCATGCGGAAGGCTGGACTGGAAGAAACCCAAGCCGGAATTAAGATTGCCGGAAGAAATATCAACAACCTCCGATATGCAGATGATACCACTCTGATGGCAGAAAGTGAGGAGGAATTAAAGAACCTTGTAATGAGAGTGAAAGAGGAGAGTGCAAAAAACGGTCTGAAACTCAACATCAAAAAAACTAAGATCATGGCCACTGGTCCCATCCCCTCCTGGGAAATAGAAGGGGAAGATATGGAGGCAGTGTCAAATTTTATCTTCCTGGGCTCCATGATCACTGCAGATGGAGACAGCAGCCCTGAAATTAAAAGGCGCCTTCTTCTTGGGAGGAAAGCGATGACAAATCTGGACAGCATCTTGAAAAGCAGAGACATCACCTGGCCAACAAAAGTCCGAATAGTCAAAGCTATGGGTTTTCCTGTCGTGATGTATGGAAGTGAGAGCTGGACCATAAAGAAAGCAGACCGCCGAAGAATTGATGCCTTTGAATTGTGGTGCGGGAGGAGGCTCTTGAGAATCCCCTGGACTGCAAGGAGAACAAACCTATCAGTTCTAAAGGAAATCAACCCTGAATGCTCACTTGAAGGACAGATCCTGAAGCTGAGGCTCCAGTACTTTGGCCATCTCATGAGAAGAAAAGAGTCCTTGGAAAAAACCTTGATGTTAGGAAGGTGTGATGGCAAGAGGAGAAGGGGACGACCGAGGATGAGATGGCTGGACAGTGTCTGCGAAGCAACCAACATGAACCTGACACAACTCCGGGAGGCAGTAGAAGACAGGAGGGCCTGGCGTGCTCTGGTCCATGGGGTCACGAAGAGTCGGACACGACTAAACACACACACACAACTTAAATACCTATTCCAACACCTTCCTGAGTACCGGATGAGTTGTAACTTAAGCATTACTGAGATATAGCCAGTATGTGTTGTGTGTTTTTGAATCAGCCTTCTCTCATGCTAAATTATTAATCTATTTATTTCTATTATGCTAAATTATTATACAGCAGTTGTTGGGTGTCATATACTGCTTATGCAGCAGGCCTGCTATTTTTATTGTTAATTAAAAGGGATAACAAGAACCTTCATTTTAGCATGCAGAAGGCATATACACGGGCTATATAATGTTCAAAATGACAATTTGCCTCCTGCAAATAAATAAAAGAATGAGCCTGGCTTTTTAATGGAAAAGTTATATATTTACAGGTTTATTTGTATGCAGAGTTAAACAACAAACAATCTGAAAGTCACCAAAAGTAAATAAATTATTTAAAGGAACTGTGTACATTGATAAGGCAATATTCCTATGTAGTCCAATTAAACGCCTTGCTAACTCTCCAAACATCCAGTCAGAATTGGCAATCCAGCAGGAAATGCCTAGTGTTATCACTAGGTTCAGGCTATAATCAAACAAAACCCCTTCAGTGGACAGCGATATTGAGAGGCTTTAAACTCCTGATTGCACCTCTAAAACCTGCAAAGAAAAGGTCGTCCTAAAGCATGTAAAGATACAAAGACTGCAATAATCTTCATAATGAACATTCAGTGCTTCAGCTTCAAAGATCCTGTGTCCATATACAATGATAGATAACGTAAATATGGGCAGCAGAGAGTGGCACATGAATAAGTTAAAATTTTTTCCATTCCATGTCATCTGGAGGATTGACTTCTACTTTCCTTTTACCCACATCAGACCAGTTTGTGCTCAGAACTGTTCCACCAGATTCCATCTGGAAAATAACGACAACATACACAAATAACAGTCAATTACTACTACTACTTCCACCACCACCACCCCTCCTCCTCCTCATCATCATCATCATCACAATAACACAGTACTATAAGCAGTTGCAAATCTCAGAAATCACACCATCAGAGCTACAAAAAAACAGCAATATTAGGAACATCATATACATACTGCATCAATACTTAACAGATACTTAGGTTTTTTGATTAAAAGTTGTATCTGTTATATAATACCCATTAATTTTTTTTATAACTTTGACTGTGCCTGGCATCATCATCATACATTACAGTAATAATTAATAATGATGATGATCAATTCTGCAGGCTGGCAAAGGTTGTTACAGGATAAAAAGCAATGGCTGCAACAAAAGGTTTATTGCTATCTTGACTCAGAATGAGAAGTTTACACATAATTATATCCTCTTCCTCTTGACTGCTACAGGACAGCAGGACCACTAGATCACTAGTATTTGGAAATCAGATCTAATGTTCCTGGATGCTGGTGGCGGCATAAATAGACATTGTTAATTGTGGGCAACAGAAACAGTGCCAGAGGAAGATTACTTCCACTCATTTTGACATTACTTTATGTCACGAAATAGAAATATTCAATAAATTGATTGTGGCAACTTGAAGAGAGACCTCTCATGCACTAAATCAGATTTGCCAGCAGTCTGAGGGCTGCACTCCCAAGGAGTCAGAACTGAAAGGGCAAACTTACATATCTATTTTGATTTATAATGCAGTTGTTCTGTGCTGTAAGGTTTGCTAGAATGTGTTCTTGTTAAATGAAAAAGGGTTTTTTTTTCAAATTGACAAAGCCCCCTTGCATCCTCTAGTGACCTACAGAAATATTTTTTAAAAGCTAATGATTTGTGCATGGTGCAGAGGTGCTGCATTGTATAGATATAATCAAAATTCAGGAGTTTGGTTTCTGCTTGCATAAGCTCACATCTAGATAAAAGCATATATAAAAAAAGGCTTGCATTTTGCCACTTTTATATAATAGTCTGATCTGTCAAAGTCTAAGTTAATTTAGAAGCATAATACATTCAGCATGACAAAGAACTTCAAATGTCCAAAAACAGCTAAAAAGAGGCAGATGTCTTACAAAAGATTTATTCATGGCGCGCTTCACTTCATCGGTGCCATCCGAGTAGATCTGCTGGAAAAGTTTATTTAAAGCTGCATCACCCTCTAACTTTTCATTCTTCTCTTCTTCTTTTAGCTCAACCACCAATCTATCCCAGTTCCGTGTATAATGAGAGGATGATGGATAGAGAAGTACTGAATCTGAAACTAAAATGTGCAGAACAACATAGTCTCAGCAATATATCCCAGCTTAACTTATTGGCTGACTATGAAGCCTAAGATCCTCTGGTAGTAGCAACATTGCACTTCAAATGGTACGTATTTGCTCCCCATCATTAAATACTCTGGACCATAAAAGAGAACAGGGCAACAACTGTGAATGCCTTCACTTTACAGAGCTAAGTAGAAAAGAGGGGATCAAAATCAGATCTAAGCACTTGCATCGCCACAGATGACTGTGCTGTGAAGAAAGAAAAACTGGTTATTGATTCTACTGCAGAACTTTTACCTGACGTCATGCTTACAAAAACTGTATTAATTAACCATATGGAGATGCGTGGAAAGGAGTATGTGAGGAAGAGGCCAATGGCATGGGCACCCCTGTGGTTGGGCCATCTTTTCATGTCCTGGGACCTGCTGATTTCTGAACTGTAAGCTCCCCAGTAGACTTCAAAGAGATGGGTCTAGCAGATGCCACACCTGGGGAACTCAGGAACCTGGGCATCCTGAGGAGGGGACCCAGACAGAAGTCCTCAAGGGAAGCCCAGGCCCAACAAAGGGACCCCTGAGGAACCCAGGGTGCCCAAGACCTAGGTGATATAAGGAAGGTGCTGTTGAGAAAGCAGGGAGTATGCAAGAGACAATAGAGCAGGATGTACAAACTGTGGACTGACTCCCCAATGTGGTAATAGAGAAGGAGGTTCAGGAGATGCCCTGCAGGAGCCCCCCTCATAAAGGCTACCAGCTGGAAGTAGAGCTCCCCAAGGAACCCTTTCCACCAGGAGACTGGGAGTGCATTTACAAGGAGGACCCTTGGACAGGGATGCATGTACATATGATGGTCCCTTGAGATGAACCAGGTAAGTACCCAAGCCTCCAGGTGCCTCCAAAGCCCTTGTACTGAGAAGAATGTGAACAGCAGGAGCAAAAGTGCCATAAGAAACAGTCTACCTCAGGGGAGCAGTAAGCAATCTAGCTATGATGCAGGCAGAGGTAGTCCCAGTGGACTCATCAAAGCCAGGAAGCAACAAACTGAAACGGTGGGGGGGGGGAGAGTGTGCTGCTGCTGCTGCCCTCAGTGTAGACATACCATCCATCCCTCCTATGACCACCATGCTTCAAGCCCACCAGGGCAGTACAAGTAAAAGATCCTAAGCCACCTCTCCCCTTGGTGAAGGAAACCAGAGAGCATCAACTAGGTGGACTTGGTATCTGTGCCCCAGACAGTGAAGGAAACTAATCCAGGATGTTACTGTTGGTTTGAAAGCTGTCCCTGAACAACTTTCAATTAACCCTGTTATGCTGCAACCACCAATGTGGAGATACTGAAAACTTCAGGCAGGATGCCTCATACATATCTCTTTTTTACATGCAAATGTTACTAACAACTTGTTTAATATGCCATATCTTTGGGAAAATCCGCATGGGAAAGAACCTCATCACAGCCAGGAGCAACTATCTTTTGGCAATATTCAAAGTATGAAAACTATGGATAAATGTTAATTTCTTTGTCACCGGTACATCAGCATCCTCACCAAACAGTCTAAAAGGCTATCTTTAAACTAGCTGATCTAAAGGCCTTGACTCAGCAAAGTGGCCTGGGGCATTTTGAAGCATTTCTTCCTCCAAAACAAAACTGTACTCTTTGTTAAAACTAATCTAAAGTATGCTCTGAGTTGTTGTCTTGGTACAATTTTATCTCAAGTTGTAAGCCCTCAGATCTAGTGCTTTGCATGCTTTTTTTTTTTTAACTGTGGGAGTCAGAGTAAGCTCTTTAAATCCTGGGAGGATCTTGAAGCTGTGTGAATTGGCATTTTTTATTGCCTGTCCTTGGGATCAATACTCCGCCTCTCCTTCTGCTGCCTAAGCCACATTTACATTTCTCTTTTTCTCATGGTTTCTTGCTGTCTTATGCAACAAAAGGAGAATCTGCCTTCTGAGCCTTCTGGAGCTCAGCAGTCTCAAGAAACTGTTTTACAAGGCACTGGTCTTCTGGTATATGTGCATCAGGGTTGCTTGGCTAATCAGCACTTTTGAATGCTTAGGCCTCTCAAAACCTGGCTCACCAATTCTGCAGCACTCTCTCTGATCTTTTTTTATTAATCGTCATCTCCCACCTCTATTCTTCCTGATTATATTACTGTTATCAGGAACACTCTGTTGGCCCGCCGCTGAGAGGGGACATATGAATATCTCTTTTTCTATCTGCAAATACTTCTGGTAAAATTTCTGTACCACAATTTCCATACTTCTTGGATTAAGAATTATGTCAAAATGCAATGCATAATATATTTTGCTTCCAGATTGAGTAGGCATTCCAGTACATATCAGTTCCCACACACATGTAGGTCAGAACATCTGACAACACAAAAAGGAAACACAGGAGATGACCAGCAGAGGGGAAACATATAAGCAAGAAATGCAACTCAGGCTTCATGTTGCAAGCTTGAATCTTCCACAACCAAAAAGGAAGCCAGTCCTCTTTAGAAACACTATATTCCTTCCGTACTATAATACAATAATATCTGAACTCACATGCGTATATGATGCTGTTTAATAGCAAACATGTTAAGAATGGACACATAATCCAAAGAGTAATTGTTATTTATTAAAAGAAACAAGGAAGCTTTGGACCAACAAGGGATGACAGTACAGAGTATATGTTTGAAAGCAAAATCACAAACCTGGGGTAAACTGCTTTAGTTTTGAACCTCCATCTCCTTCAAGTTTCTCCCATCGTATGGCTTCTGGCTTCTTCATTTTAATCTCAATCTACACCAAAAAACAAACAAAATGAATTCATTTTAATGAATGTCATGTAAGGTAACTGTACAGAAATGTACCAGAAAAGGTGAAGAATCATGCAAGTAATATTCTGAGATACACCACTAAACATCCAAAGAAAACAAATCACACAATCAAACTGCTTCAATTTAGAATTCAAATTAAACTGATTTAAAATAAAATGCCTTTAGCTTAAAAGTTACAAAATGCTATTGGAATGTGAGCCTGGATATAGGAAAAAAAGGAAAAGAAAGCAAACAACTGTACTAAAAAGTTATTGCAAGTACATATTCAGCCTTATAATCTGCAGTACTTCTCTTGAGACTGATGCTTTTCAAAATTAGGAGGGTGCCTTTGCAAAAAGAAGAGTAAGGTACACATTTCTTGTTGGTTAGATTTACAGCTCTTCAGGTGATGTTTTAAAAAGGTTTTGCACTCCTAGAAAAGCAGTCCTTAAAATCATGGTTGTAATTGTGTCTGTATTATTTACATTATCATACACTTTCTGATCATTTTAAAAAGTTCATTGGATTTAACAAGCAACATGGTTGAAGACAAAACCTCTACTGTAAATGACAAACCATCTTCTAAGTCTTATTTTAAAATACACACATACATGGGATATTTTAAGCAGAGTAATACTACAACTCATACATACAGTATTTAAAAGGAAGCCCTCTAAAACTGTTGGCATAATTAATTTGCAGATATCTGTTGTTGTTTAGTCATTTAATTGTGTCCGACTCTTCGTGACCCCACGGACCAGAGCACGCCAGGCCCTCCTGTCTTCCACTGCCTCCCGGAGTTGGGCAGGCTGAGTTGGGGAGATATTTACATGTAACTAAATAAAATATGGGATTAACTTTTCTTTTAAAATGAAAAGAAGAGCTTTATGATAATAAGGAAATATAACTTAAAACTTTTAGGTCCAAATTCCTCAAACCTGGTTCTCTCCACACTCCTGCATTACAGCTAGATGTTAGTGTGTATTTTCAGAGTATACACACCAGTAGACTTATATAATTTTGTCCCCTACGCAACAATTTCCGCTAATTTCAGGCCCTATGTAGAACATCTCTGTCCCCCATTATCAGGGTTACAAAACAAAAAAATACCTATTGGGGACGAAAAAAAGTTTCTAATAAATCTACTGATTTATTTAACAATATGAGTACATTTCTGTCCCATTCAACGTGATATACTGAAAATTTAAAACAGCCCATGCTGATTTCTGGCAAATCATGATGCTGCAAAACAGAAATGACATGCTGTGGTTGCCAGTAGGTTGGCACCACTCTGGGAAATAAAACAATTTTTTTCCTCTGGGAGAAGATTTGTTTTACTATTATTCCATCTTGCATCTTCAGCATCTGGATATTTGGAAGGAATGCATATGGTTCTTCACATACAAACACTTCATTTAATGTGAGGTATTTCTATGCAACACACCAGATTTTTAAATGTGAGGTCAGATATATTCCAAAATTCACTTAATAGTCTGTTTATCTTAATGCATGAAGCTGAATAGCTCAATGGTTTAGGCATCTGGCTGTGGAGCCAGAGGTTGGGAGTTCAATTCCCTACTGTGCCTTCAGGGGGGAAGAGCCAGCCTGTGAAGCTTTCAGCAAGCTGCAGTCCCAGGAACACCCCTAAAGGGAAGATAGTCTGTATATTATCTATCTAGAACACCCTGGAAAGGGTCGCCGTAAGTCAGAATTGACTTGATAGCATGCAATTATTATCATTATGAGGCTTAAAACAGTGATCTTTCTCTGTATGATGAAAGAGATAGATGAGACAATCCAGTACGAAGTGTTATACAGCATGTAATTATAGAACTGATTTATCTCTTCCCCTCTATTCTCACTTATCTTTTAATCTGCAATTTTATCAAGACCGGACAAGAGGCTACTGCAATATTCCTAGCTCCCAAAATACCACTTTCAAAAGCACACACTAATCCTACCATTTTGCCCCAAATCAGGACTAACAGAGTGCCATTACCACAGTGAAGGAAGACCTTCTCAATCTCATGCACAGACTAATCTGTTTTGGCAGAATTACACTGAAGTGGACTTCACAGCTACAGTGAAATCCAGGATAGCCCAGGGATCCCTGTAGCTCCAAGAACAAGGACACCTTTGTAAATGTTAACTCCGGAAGGCATCTTGTGGCAGTTTATCCTTGCCACCAGTCAGAACTTCTACTTTAAATATGTAACTAACTGTACAGTTTAAATATTCAAAAAGCATGATCCACTGTTATGGATATTATGCTATTAAATTATACTATTTAAATTGAAATTTTAAAATATGCTTATTGTTGAAACTTCTTGGGCAAAGATTTATAATAGCAAGTTTAATTCAGTTTTCCTCTTGCTCTTTTACTGATTTTAGTTTCTGCTTAACAGAATAAACCAGTGGTTTTTGCAACTGTGAAACACACACCTGCCTATCTTTGAAAGTAAAACTAAGCAGGCTTGTCCTCCCAATGTACATTTTTCTTTTCAATTTGGGGAATGAAGTGAACAGTCAAAGCAGTATGATTATATATTTACACACATATGCACAGTGATGTTTTAGCAATGGCTGAATTCTAATATCACTCCACGCCTAACTACACTTCAGAATACTATCTGAGCTACCTGATACTCTGCTAATCAGAAGGAAATAACCTGGTTCTCCAACACTTCAAGCAGAAGGTCATTAATCCGGAACACTTCCAACAGTGAATTGTCCGAACTCCCTCCCCCCTGTAAATCTGCCCATATTCTTCAGCAGAGAGTAAAAAATATATATTGTACACTTTCATTCACTCTATGACCTTGATTAGTCATTTCTTCTTCTAATTATTAAGATGAGTATAGATACAAATGATTGAACTTTCCTCAGTGTTACAGACTGTGATGTTCTCTTTTTAATAATACATCATCAGCAATTTCATTGGAAGATAAGCCCTGGTGTTAAGGAATCCACTCATCCCTGAGAGTTCTGAATATGTTTGTTAGGATTTCTTTTGCTGCAGGGTGGACTAGGCAAATGTCCTGAAAAACAGTTATCACTGAGCCCTGATGGCACCTAGAAACCATCTTCCTTGGCATCAGCAGTGAGCCTCCTCATTAGCTGCAAATGATTGCTACTAGAAGATAACTGGAAGTACCTCTGAACAACCTAAATAGTACAGTACATGGTGATTGGTCTCTCTCCCTCTCTTACTCACAAATTCACACCTGTACAGGGATAGAAAAGATGGTCTTGCTCTCTTTTAGGGTAAAACAACTCCAATTGTAATCCAGTTGTCAACTGCAGCTGCAAGAAGCCCACTGAATCAATGGAACTCACAAAGAAGTCAATTCGCCAGATCCTCATTGATTCAATGGTCCTACTGTAGCTGCAACTTACTGCTAGATTTCAGTCAATGTAAGGGAACTTAAAACATTAACAAGATTCTGTTAACGTATTAATTGGTATTAGACAGTTCACTTCATGATTCTGTTAACATATTAACAGAATCATGAAGTGAACTGTCCACTACCGATTGATTTTTATATATTACACACATACCTCCAGCAGTCACTTGAAAAAATGTACACATCTGAAATGTAGTTCAGTTACTTCAATATTCAATGAATTTTTTTTTTTGAGAATGGAAGCATTTTCATGAAAAATATGATGTAAACAACGATTGCCATAAGATGCTTTAGACTGGGATACAACCCAACCAAAGAATTCCATGCTTATACTGTAATAGGAATTTACCCTGCCTGTGATGTTCATGTGGTTTGTATGGTTAAACTGAGCACCAACATTCTATCTAATTTTCTGGAGCACTGTGTGGGGGTTCCACTCCATGCACACAGGGTTCCAGCCACGACGAGAAGCAAATTGGCAGTAACACTGGCTCGGCTGCGCACGCATGATGCAGTGCTGTATGCCCACATGCTTAGAAGAAATGTTGCTGAGCACTATATTTCGCATAATCATATTATGAATTTGATCTCATGTTTCCAGTTTACATATTATTTACTCCTGGGTTAAATCTACTATTTAAAGTGAAATACCTGATCAAGCCCATCATACTCAGCTATTATTTCCACCAGCCCCACTGTCAGAATTAAACAGCTCTGTTAGTATTTTTAGTGCCCTTTAGAGAAAACAAAGGATGACAGTGCATTTTCTGGACCAAATGCTATTCTGCATCCCCGATTCCAGCCAAAGATTCACCTGCACAAACTTATCTGCAATGAAAGAAGCAGAGACAGGACACATACACACATAACAATACTGACATTTATACTTTCATTTCATAATACTTTTCTTACTTACGTAGTAGGGTCATTTCATTTGAAAAAGGACATGATACAATGGTGGAAAAGTGTGTGTATTTAGTAAAGTAATTTGTTCTTTAAAAATTACCTTAGTTGAAAGAATTCTGAATGAACTTTGTTCTGGAATTATAGGATGAAGAAGATTAAGCTTTAAGTTATAGTCTTCCTCTGAAGAAAGCTTCACTAATGTATTTAGCTGTTAAGACAGAACATATATCAGAGGTAGGCAGAAGAAAAAAGTAGGCCATCTAGTGTTCATTTTACCTCCTCGTAAAAATAAAGGCAAAACCTTTAAATGAGAACTTTTAAATTATGTAAAGCATAAGACAGGAATTTCAAATGGCAATTTATATTGCATTATTCAACAGCTAATTCAAAGTAAGCTAGAAAATAAACAAAAGCTTCATGTTCTCACCAAGTAAGAACTCAGAAAGCTGTTGTCAGTTTGATAAACATTCTTTAGTTAAAGAATTGGTAAGTTTCGACAGTTACACAAGATCCATAAATAATTAAATGGAAAAAAAAGACACATGGCTTCCTTTTTTCCTATACTTCACATGCTTTCACGGGCAGAAAGAATACAAAGTAGCAACATACTGCTGATCAAAAGTAAATACTAAAGTATAAAATAAATATATACACACTATGACCAACAAAAACTAGGATGCCAAGAAAAACTATGACTTCTTCCAAATGATTTAGTGAGTTCTATGGCAGAGAGATACAGAGAATATACAGTTCAACAATATCTGGAGTAAGATTAACTAAAATCTTATTTACTCTTATCAGTCTTACTCCACATGCCAAGCATCTGTTGATTTACTCATGGGTTGTAATCCTCAACATATGCTTTCTTGGAAGCTATGCTAAAGCCACTGAGATACTTTTTCAAGAAAGTACACTTAGAATTAAAGTGTGTGTTGATTTTCAATTTGAACTATTACCTCTTTCTCTGAGAACTGTACTCTTACTTCATCCTTCTTCACGTTTTTGATCATAATTGTCACAATTACATGAGATTCTGTCTGGTACCAATCATACCTTTAAAAAAAGATTTTTAAAATGTGAATATTCTCATTTCAAATGCCAGACTTTTTACATAGACTTTCCTTACTCTTCTGCTCTTTAAATGGATGAAAACTAGAACTCAGATTCGACTTCCATATTTTAATGTTCTTTCCCGTTTCAAACATTTGAATTTGCACATGAAACAAACATTCTTTACATATTAAGTTTTAAGTTGTCCTTTATTATACTGCAGCACAGAGCTTGTGAACTCAGCTGGTTCAGCCATAAAGCCAAACAACTTAGTGTTGCAGCAAGAAGCCATTGTGAATTTTAAGTCAAACAAGTCAACAGTTTCCCATCTAAAATCATACCCTGAACAATGAACAGTTACAGTATGTGCACCAGAATCCACTGCAAAGCCCAAGGTTTCATGCAAACTAATCAGGAAGTAGATCAACTTGGAAAAACCACAAGTCATTTATGTAGGTTTAACTCTTGGTTTTAATCACATGTATATTTTTAAACACATAGGGCAATTTCCCTCGTATGCTATCTAGAATTATTTGCTATAAATACAAGTCAAGCTGCTTACTTTTAAATAGACAGTTCAACTTTTAAAACTTCAATATAGAAAAAAAATTCAATATTATTCTGAGTAATGTTAAGGTGTCTTTGTTTCATCCGCTATTTGTGGACAGACAATCACAACGTACACTGATTGTCTTACAGGAATGTTCAAATAATTGAACAGCTTGGAAGTCCATCTGGATCCGGTGCTAACCATGGAAACCCAGGTAGCATCAGTGGTCCACTCTGCCTATTTCCATCTCTAGCGGATTGCCCAGCTGCGTCCCTCACCACTCTTTTTCATGCACTTGTAATCTCAATATTAGACTACCGTAATGCGCTGTGCATGAGGCTACCTTTGAGATTGATGCAGAAGTTTCAAATGGTGCAGAATGCAGTGGCCAGACTTCTCACTGGGGTGAGAAAATATCAGCATATTTCCCCCACTCTGGCTGCCTTGCATTGGCTGCCCATTCGTTTCCGCATTGATTTCAAAGTGTTAATGATGACATATAAAGCCGTAAACGGTTTAGGACCTCGATATCTAGCGGAACGCCTCGTCCCCCTTAGATCTTCCTGAATCACTCATTCTAGCCAGGAAGGGAGGCTCAGAGGCCTGACGCCAAGGGAGGCCTGGAGAGAAATAACAAGAAACCGGGCTTTCTCGGCAGTGGCCCCTCACCTTTGAACAGTCTGGCTCCCTCACTGGGTGTTTTTAAGAGCAAACTTAAGACCTGGCTATTTAGGCAGGCTTTACCTCCTGTCATCACCTGATTATTTTTCCCATCTTGAACAATATTATTACTAGGTTTTTTTAAAATATTATTATTATGTTGTTCTTATTCTATCTATTATTGTTAGCCACCCAGAGTAGACTTCAGTCTAGATGGGCGGGGTATGTATGTATAAATAAAAATATTGATTATACAGTGCTGTTCTTACCTGTCACCTCAAAACCTACAGACAAAATAACCGAAGTATCCCTGTTCCAGAGGGTTACAATCTTAAGACATATAATGAACAAAGTAGAAGGAAGAGATTTTAAACAAATGAGTCCATATGGTTACAAGTTGAAAAGACGGATGAAGGGAATATACCAAAGACATTACAGAATACAGTGGTGCCTCGCTTAACGAGCGCACCGTATAACGATTAAATCGCATAGCGATCGCACAACGTTTTTCCCATAGGGAAAAATTCGCTTTGCGAAGACCGGTAAGCGTTTCGCTTACCGATCTTCGCAAAATGACCCCCGCCGATCAGCTGTTTGGCGGCCAAAATGGCCGCCGGAAGCCGGGAAATGGCCTAAAATGGCCGCCCGCAGCGTTTTCGCGCCCTCGTTAAGCGAGGCGAGGGCGCGAAAATGGCTGCCGGCCATTACGAAGCTTCGTTAAACGGTGAGTATTTGGCCCATTTGGAACGCATTAAACATGGGCTTTTCTGTACCGTTTAACGATGCTTCAGCATAGCGAAGGTTAATCCGGAACGGATTACCCTCGCTATGCGAGGCACCACTGTAAATGGACTTCAAGAGAGACACAAAGAAGTAGGAATGCACATGTTCAGGGCATGATTTCCATAAAAGGAAGAAACAAGGATAGGTAGAATCATTTTTTAAAAATAAAATTTAATTAGACAACTGCAATAGAGTTGACAATATAAAATTTACTATCTAGAATATAAGAAACAAGGGCCAGTTACTGAAATTGTATGAAGTGCTCCACACATTGTTACCCAAACTATTACATAAATATCACACATCACCAAAAAAAATCTTACTTGATCTTAGACGATCGTGACTGGTGCTGCCAAATCCAAGTGTCATTCATTATAATAAAAAGAAAGACAGTCAGATACAGAGTATCATATTTTCAGATCACAAAAATCCAGAGACCTTCAGAGTGGTTATTCAATTGCCATTTTTGCACAGCAAAGCCCAACAGACTTCAGTAAGACAGCCACATAAAAATGCCACATATGTAGCGTTTAGATTTTTAAGTCAGCAGTTAGGTCATTTGAACCTGGCACATTTTAAACTATGGACATGATCCAGCCACAAACTAGACTAGGTTGTAATGCACCATTTCCTACACTTATCTGTCTGAGCTTAGGAATGGGGAACACAGAAATGACTACAGTGGTGCCCCGCATAGCGACATTAATCCGTTCTGGATTAATCGTCATTATCCAGAAACATCGCTAAACGGAACAAAAAAGCCCATAGAAACGCATCAAAACACGATTAATGCGTTCCTATGGGCTTAAAATTCACCGCTGAGCGAAGATCCTCCATAGGGGCGGCCATTTTCGGTGCCTCTAAAGCGAGGCAACACAACCAGCGGCCATTTTGGAACCGCCGATCAGCTGGCCAAAAATGGGGCCTTTGGCATTTTCCCCCAGCTGAGCGGCAGGAGCTTCGAAGCCCCGCCGCTCAGCTGGGGAAAAATGTCAGCGGTCGGTCAGCGGTGGCTTTGGAAGTACCCCGAAGGCACCGCCGACTGCCAACATTTGCCTTCCGAGCTCTCAAAGGGCTTTCCTCCCCCCCCCCGACATTGGAGAAAGACCTTTGAGAGCTCGGAAGGCTCTCATCGGCAGCGGCAGCAGGGTAGGGGGGTCTGGATGGCTTCCAGGCGAAGCACTGGAAGCCATCTGACATACAGCCACCTACAGTGGAGCCTCGACCTACGGACTTAATCCATATTGGAACGGTGTCCATAGGTCAAAAAGTCCGTAGGTCGAAAATGCATTCCCTATAGGAATGCACTGAAAACCCATTAATCCATTCCAGCCCAAGAAAAAAAAATACCCCCCTCCAAATAAAAATAAAACTAAAACACTGCTGAAACCACCATTGGGCGCAGCGCTTTGGGAGAAGCCTCGCGGTGGGGGAGAAAGACCGGATCGGCTTCTGCCTTTCTTCCCCACAGCCCAGCTCCTCCCAAAGGGCTGCCGCGATTGTGCTTGCAGCAGCGGAGGAGGTGCCCGGTGGGGAAGGAAGGCAGGAGCCGATCTGGCCATCCTCCTTGGAGCCGTGCCGCGCCCGCCTATCCCAGCCATGCTTGGACTGGCTAGGATAGGCTCGGAAGCACTGGAAGCCATCCGGACCCCCCGCCGCCGCCGCCGCGTGGAGCTGCCCTGCACCCGGCCAGCACTTCCGAGCGGCTGTGGTGGAGCCGGCCAGGGCTTCCAAGCGGTGGAGGAGGAGCGCCCGCCAGGGGCCTATGGGGAAAAATCGCAAAGTGATCTTTCCCCATAGGGAACATCGCAATGCGATCACTTTTGCGATAGCAAAAAAATCACTATGCGGATTCGTTGTTAAACGGGGCGCTCGTTATGTGAGGCACCACTGTAGTTGGTAGAACCATCTACCAACTATGTATCTCACTGCTGCAATCTAAGCAGGTTCCTAAAGCAGACCACTTTATTTGGCACTTTCCCTATTGCTCCCAGTTCAGACCAGTCCACAAGATTCAGCAGTGGCTTTGTGGATAATCATAGGAAATAAACAAAATTAGCTCTCAATGCAATTATCATGATATTTTATTAACAAGATTACCATTGCAAATATTAATATTAATCAATACATAAACCAATGTAGTTCTGTAACCCCTTTCCCATCCCCTGCAACAGTCATATTCAAAATCTTATGATGAGGTTTTCCTGGGAAAATTATAGTTATATTCCAAGTATGGTGTAGAAACCAGTTAATCCTGTATGCTTTGGGAAGTCTCCATTCCATTCAAATAAATAATAAAAGGGTGCCAGTACGTTGAAGTATCCAAATGTTTTACCCTTTTATTTGTATGCATTTTATGGCCATTTTTTTCCTACACTATCTGCTGGCTGTGATACCTCCCTGCACATTCTTCCACCCCTTGGCTACCGCATTTTTCCGTGTATAAAATGACATTTTCCTAAAATAATTAGAGGAAAAATTGAGTGTTGTTTTATACACGGAAGGAAGCAGTCGTGAGCCTCTTGCTGCTGCCCAATTGTCTCTTCCAGAGCTCACAGCTTGTCCCCTCAGTGGCGCTGAGGCAGCAGCAGCAGGCGGCGGCAAAGGAGCATTCACACACACTCGGGTGCCTCTTGCTGCTGCCTTCCCCGCCTGCCCGATCACCACCTCCACCGGGACTGACAGGCCCAGGTCACGTCGCCGCCTTGTCCCCTCCAGCGGTGGAGGCAGGAGGAGGCAGAGGCGGAGGCAAACAAGCACTCATGCGCGCTCAGGCGCCTCTTTCTGCTGCTGCTGCCAGATCACCTCCTCCCAAGATCTCCTTAGGGCAGGGGACAAGGCAGTGACGTGAGCTGGAGGTAAGCGCCGGCAGTCAACAGTCGCACTGGAGGAGGTAATTGGGCAGGCAGCGGAGACAGCAGTGGCAGTAGATGGAGGAGCATTTGCACATTAAGTGCTACTCCGCCTCCCTCAAGGGTCAAAATTAGGGGGTCGTTTTATACACTGGGGGGTCGTGTACACGGTAAGATATGGTATATGGTTTGTCTTGCAATTACTAGAAGACAACCTATTAAGGGTTTGTGTTGATTCATTCTCCCTTAAGAGAAGGTTAAGAAGTACTATTTGTGGGGATTTAGTAATCAACAGATTTGTTGTTTTCTTTCCTTAAACATCTGTTCCCAAAATTCATCTCTCTCAATCTCTTTTTCTTTTTTTGCAGAATCACCAAAGGTGTTGAAATTATCCCATTAGAGCTGTACAGCCAAGGCAGATTTCCCGGGCCGGGGGGATAAAAATCTGTGGGAAAAATAAATTTTTTTAAAGGAAACTGAAAGTACATACATTTGGAAGAAACTTACCATTTCATCTTGTGATCCTGCTGCAAGAGAAAAATATATTTTTAGACAAAAACAGGCTGTCAAAAATTCTCTCCCAACTTCTCTACCAGATTTGTAACATTTGTTGGAGCTAACTGGACGCCGCCATTGTCTCCCAATTGTCAATCAATCAAAGGTCTACTCTGGACAGCTTTGCAAATTTAAAAACAGTAAAACCAATGAAACTACTTTTATTAGACTGCTAAAATCTCACAAACTGGCACTAAATTTCAACTCCTGCAGGACTCCTGCAGAGTGGGCATTACAGGCCTTATGAAGGGTGCAGAAGGAAGACAAAATGCAAAAAGAAATCACAGACAGATATAGAAGTCAGACTCTCGCGTTTAAAGCAAGTTCCAAAATGAAGGCTGCAGCACTGCAAAATCAGTTTTGGACAGCAGGTTAAAGATTTTACCCTGGGCAATGTAGTATGCCAGTCACTCAGCAGACACATACGCCTTAAAACAAAGCCTGTAGCTCCTTTTGGGCTGAGAACAAAGATAACACAGAACAGTGGCAAACCCTGTATCAGAATTTTACCTCAGACTGTGATATATGTAAATACTGGAATATCTTCACAAGCTATGCTTTATGGCCAGGCATTAATTCATTCATTTTGAATTGTATGCTGCCCATCTAAGCCCAGGGCCGCTCATCCTGCTGAATCTTCCATTGGTACTACAGCAGATGATTTAAATCACAAACAGATAATTCTGATTTAAATTCTGATTTAAATTGCTGATTTCCTAAAAACATGCTAGCTAGGAAGTCATTTTCATTTGCCAATATAAATCCTGATCCTGTTTGACAGAGTACCTTGTGGACAGGTTCACAATTGTCATTGAAAGCAAGGAAGAGTGTGGATTATGACTTAAGGCCTAAGATCTCCTATTCTCAAGATAAAGACACTGCATATGCTTTTAAGAATCCAAAAAAGGAAAACACTGCTTACCACTTATGGCTTCTTCACATATTTTAATCCAAACAGTAAAAGACGTATCTGCACCTAACAGATAGAACACATAATAAAAACCCAAATAATTTATTGCAATCTACCATTTACCATTAAATATCATAATCATCCCTTTATGCTAAACAGTCTTGAAGGCTCTTCTATGTGACGCAAAAACAGAATATGGGTATACACATGCTTTTTCAATTTGAGGTTTTAAGCTTTTCCTTAAGGACCTGTAATTCTAATGGATGAAGATAAGTAATCATGCTGGAAGAGAGGAAATAAAGAGGTTACCTACCTGTAACCATAGTTCTTCTAGTGGTCCTCTGTGAATTCACGCAAAAGGGCTGTTCGAAAGCTAAAAGTAACAATTTAGACAGATGCTTGGTATCGCGATTCCACGCTGGAAGGCAGTAGATGTTGACAGCACTCTAGTGGAGTGTGCATTCAAATGATCAGGAGGTGATTTGTCTGGTAGTTCATATGCTAAAGAAATAGTTTGGACGATCCATCTGGAAATGAATTGTGATGAGGCTGGGCCTCCCTTGTGAGGTCCATAAAAACATAGAAAAAGTATATTAGTTTTCCTGAAAGCCTTAGTTCTGTCAATATAAAATGCAAGAGAGCGTCTTACATCTAGAATGTGGAGCATGCGCTCTAAAGGAGTTGATGGTGACGGGAAGAAAGATGGTAATATGACTGGTTGATTTAGATGACATTCTGACAAAATTTTAGGCAGGAAAGAGACATCAAAATATAGAGTCACTTTATCTGGGTGGAAATGAATAATAAAAGGTGGATCAGAACGAAGAGAGGCAAGTTCACTGGCTCTTTTAGCAGATGTGATAGCCACTAGAAAGGAAGTTCTCAGAGACAGTAACTTAAGATTTGAAGAGACCATTGGTTTGAATGGTGGACGCATAAGAGCACTGAGGAGCATTTGTAATGACCATTGCGGTATAATACATTGGCGTGGTGGACGAATGTTATTAAGTCCCTTAAGGAATTTTTTAATCATAGGGTGAGATAAAAGTTTAGCTGATTTCGAATTATCCAGTTGATGGGCAACAATGGCTGAAATATAGACTTTTAAAGTAGAATGAGAAAGTTCAAAATCAAAGAGATGTAGCAATGTCTTCAGGGAAACAGGTATAGCAGGCAAGTTATTTGATTCAGTATAATTAAGAAAGGCTTTCCATTTATTGGCATATAGGAACTGAGTTGAAGGCTTTCGAGCTCGATCCAAGACTCGTTTCAAGGCGGGAGTATCCTCCAGTCTGTCAGATTCAATGACAGGAGGTCTGGGTGATAGACCATCTGTTGGTGGGTGAGGACCTGAGGATGTTGTCGTAGACTGAACAGGCTGTTGATGTTTCGAAGAATGGCTAGATTTCTTGGAGTGTTCAGTATGGGATGTAGAGCTGGAACGCTTTAGAGTCGATTTAGGGGGTGCGGAAGGAGCTCTCGTTGATTTTTTAGTCTGGTGTTGGTGTCGTGGAGATGAAGGCGGTGATGGAATGTATTCATGTCGACATAGAGAAGCGTATCGAACATGTTTCGGCTCCTCGAAGTGAGGGTGGTCATAGTGCACCTGCATCAGATAGGGGTCACCGTAATGGAATCTTTTATCAATGTCAAAGTGATGATTATCACAGATACATGGGATAATGAAAATAATCTCCATATGGAGGCATAAACCCTGGAGATGAAATATGTTTCCACTTCTACCAATGTTTCTGTGGGGAGTGGTGTGAAGATTCCGAACCAGACAACTGAATCTCATCTGCCCACCCTGATGCAGGGCTAGAATAGACCGAGGCCTGGCTGGATAGTGATTCAGCCATTGAAAGGCCAACATGAGGAGATTGGCTTTCTGTCAAGATCAGAGCCTGTTGGTTGTGACTCCTCTCTCTCCGAAGTAGAACCATGATGATTACTCTAGGATTGGTGAAGGTAGTCGCCTGAGGGGGCTCAATATGAACTGGTTTGGCTCGCTTTGTCTTTTTTGTAACCCATTTGTCGTTAATTTTCTAAGTCAGTTCATGAGCTCGAGATGGTGTTTTCAATATCGATGTTGATTTTTGCTTGGCTGCTGGTTTGGCCTTCCCAGCAGTCTCCTTAGATCATGGAGACGGAGTCATTGGGTCGAGAGCAGGCTGAGTTTGAATGCCGCTCTACCGACAAGTCTGGTAATAGAAGCTGACGGGGGATTCAAGGATCTCTCCCAAAGGTATGAACTGAGCTTCTGGAGTCTGAGTCTCAGTGCAGGTTTAGTTAACTTCTTACAGGCTGCACAAGAATGAGTGGGGTGCTGTTCGCCCAAGCAGAATAAGCAATGCTTGTGGCTGCCAGAAAGCGGTATTTTGTTGGAACAGCCAACACAATGCTTAAACAGGGCTGGTGAGGCCATAAAGAGATGGAAACCAGAGGGAAAAACAGTTGAAGAATGGGAGGGGGGGCAGGAAATCAAAAGGCGGGAAAGGCAAAATATAACAAGGGGAACTCTGATTCGTTGATTGGAAATGAGAAGGTATCAATTTAGTTGTTACTTAGAAGAGGAAGCATTGAATAAGCAGTAGCAATAGCTCAAGACAAAACGCTCTATTCTTCCGTAAGTCCGATCAGCTCAACAGAGAAAAGGAACTGAGGGAATCTTGGCTAGGCAGAGCATGTGCTCCACGGGGGGAGGGGGAACGCCCCACTAAATTGTTACTTTTAGCTCCAGAATCTTCTGAGACATTCAGAGCAGGTGCAGAACGACCCATTTGTGTGCATTCACAGAGGCCACAAAGAAGAAATTTGCTGCATTGGTAAAACTTGATGGTAGGGCAACAGATTTAAAATAACTCAACAGCAGCAACCAGGGTCCTATGGAAGGGGGCACAGAAATGGCTGGGAAAGTAGCACTTGATGAAGAATGTGGGAGACAATCCTTGACATAAATCAACGACATTCAATTCCCAACACAGAATTCCATCCCTCTCCCTGCACCATAACCCCATCATGTATCTAGAATAAATGTTCTCTCTAAATACAGCTGGAAGAACTGGATTTTCACAGTGAAGCAGTTTTATTTATTCATCTAGTACTAGAGGAGTGATAGTGTCTCCTTTTGGTACCTGCACCTGAATAGGATCTCACTGGTCTAACATTATTTGTCCTGCTATCTGCAAGAAAAGGAGAACAGGCACAGAGCAGCTGAGGTGGCAGCAGAAGGAAGCCTAGGGTTGACATGAAATCACCCTAGTGCTACCTAGCTAGAAAGATTTAGATATTCCTGCAAATCAAGCAGAATGGAAAAACTGCAACTGCTAAGCAAGCAATATCTGAGGTGGCAACCCTTAACATTCCTGATTCTACTTCAAATAGCATTTGGCCTATACATACATTTTTATACTTACTGTTGAGTTTTTGTCCCTCCCTGAGACATGTCAGTGCAGATGCATAGTTTTTCAGATGATATTCACCAATCCTGGTATACAAAGACAGCATGACAATATTGCCTTCTAAAACATTCAACATATCCAACAAACATATCATCGGGCTCCAGCTACCAACCCTGTTATCCAACAAACATGGCAGTATTGACTTATTTTATACTTTAAGTTGAATATGAGCATTTCTTTAACATTATAAGATGAAATAACTGATTCACAATTAATCACTACAATTTACAGTCAAATCTAATGAACTTCACTGCCATCTTTGATAAGCCAGTGCTTATTCTTTCAGGGTGTTCTTGGCCTACAACCCATTTTACCTTATCTTAAGTGGGTCAATGTATTGGGGGGCATACTATCAGTTTCCATGGCAAACAAACACCTCTATATGTCCCAGTAGATTTTCAAATGCAACAGACACTGCCTGCTTCGATGTTCGTATTTTTAGAGGCAAAGAGGAATGCTATGAATGTCCTAATAAAGCTGACCAAATACTGTATCTACACACAATGTCACTCTGTTTAGGGCATCATGAAAAACAGTCCTGATACTGTGAGCATCAAAAGGAGGGCCAAATGAGATCTCTGCCGGTAACACAAAAGCAAGAATCCGGTTTCTCAAGCTACATGGCATAGCCTGTGTGACATCATCAACAGTGGCCAAGCTGTGGACATTCTGGGGGGATTAAAAGCTTCCTCTTCCTCCCTCCAGGTTCCACGGACCAAGGAAGAAAACTCTTTAATATCTAAATATTCTACATTAAGTACAGGCAAAAGAACTGAATTCTCAAAGTGAAGAAGCTCCTTCTATTTTTCTAATACTGGAGGAGTAATAATGGGTAAAAAGGGCAGAACTAAATCCAACTGTAGATAACTACCGTTTTCCCGAAAATAAGACCTAACCTAAAAATAAGCCATGGTATGATTTTTCAGGATGCTTGCAATATAAGCCCTACTCCATTTATGTATTTGAATAAATACTAATTGTTGTACATGAAAAAAATAAAACATCCCCTGAAAATAAGCCCTAATGCGTTTTTGGAGCAAAAATTAATATAAGACTCTGTCTTATTTTCAGGAAAACAAGTCACTTGTTAGCAAATAGTCACTTACCCTTGTCTAAGAAAGGCTACAGCATTATTAGGATCTAGTCCTAGTGCCTTCTTTGTATCTGCAATGGCACCTGCAAAAAATTAAAATAAAATAATGGCATTACTACACTTGCGCAAAACAAAATTTCTGGATTAGCTGGACACATATGTGATATTTTTTTAACAATCAAAAAGAACATAGGTGCAGTGAAATAATGATCAGAATCCTACTGCTGATGTACATTGTCATAGGTGCAACAACATAGGCGCCAACAGGTTTATATTCATCAAGAAGTCACTGTTTGTATTCTGCAACTGGCTACACAAATTTTTAAAAAAACATTTTTTAAAAATCAGATAATGTCTTTCTCGGTCTATAGGATTTTTTTCTTTATCTTTCTGTATAGAATAGTTTTTCCTTGTTCTTTATAAAAGAATTAAGGCTCAGACCATCATTAACACTACTTTTAAAGACATTAAATTATAAACGCATCAAATCAAATATGTTACCATGGTAATTTTGTAGAAGAATGTAAGCATATGCTCGCTGACAATAATATTCTGCATCACTTGGCTCCTGTTCTATTGCTGCTGACAGTTTCTGCAAGTGAAAACACAAAAACTTGACATTTTCAATAAATCCCTGTGTAGCCCATAGTGAAATGTCTTGCCTGACAAATCAATCAGCATCAATTAGTACAATTTTGCTTTAAGACGAATTACACTGGAAGCAAAAATCTCCAGTCCTTGGAACAGCCACCCAAAACTAATATAAAATCCTCAAAGCCTTGAATAGGAATGAACAGAGTCTGGAAGCTACAGGCAGAAAAGTGGCATTTTCAGAAAATAGTTAAGAGAACATTTATCAACCATCAAAGCATATGTGCATGCATTTCATTACACAAATTAAAATGGTCACTCGATCAGTCATAATAGAGATTTTTTTTCAACCCCAAAGATCTAATGTATGCTTAACAGAATTCCTCTGCATTAAGGCTACAGAAAGATATACATTCACAGTTCTGCACAGACAAATCACCCATTTCCATCATTGCCATTTGCCTTATCTTCCAGGTCTGTGCTGTATAACAGCCTTCTACAAAAAACATAATATATACTACCCTGGTTTGCATCCAGTGGTGCCTCACTTAACGAGCATCCCGTTTAACGATGAAACCGCTTAGTGATGAAGAATTTGCGATCGAAAAAGTGATCACATTGCGATGTTTTAAATAGGAAAAAATCGCTTTGCGATGATCAGTAAGCTGTTTCGCTTACTGATTATCGCATAGCAATCTTTTTCCTACAGCTGATCGGCGGTTCCAAAATGGCTGCCGGAAAAAAAACATGGCCGACCGCTGTGTTTTGGGACGGATTCCTCGCATACCAGGCAACGAAAATGGCCACTGTATGGAGGATTTTCGCTTAAAGGTGAGTTTTTTGCCCACAGGAACGCATTGAAGGGGTTTCAATGCATTCCCATGGGCTTTTTAAAATCGCTTAGCGATGTTTTCGGTTAGCAGCGATTTTTGCTGCACGGATTAACATCGCTAAGTGAGGCACCACTGTATTCCAATCAGCCATGATCAAACATGACCAGGGACTTCTAAAAAAAAAACTACCTACTTACCATCTAAGGTTTATTGTGGCACCCAAACCAGCAAAACTGCCTTTGCTGTTGGAAGATTTGTTTTGGGGAGAGGTAAGTCATAACCTCTAATGTCTAGTGACACACTTGCAAGAAGAGACAAGAGGAACTAGACTGTAAGTGAGCGATATGAGATCAGGATAGCATGTAAGGAGAGCACAGCCTTGGGCTAGATGCTTGCTTCCCAGTCTGTCTTGGTAACCCCACAACCACATCAAGCAGCTCCGCTCCCAACACATTTACCCAGGGGAGTGGGGGAAGAAGTAAATTGTGGCTCCTGAAGAAACAATAATAACGTCGAGCGAAAATGTCTTGCGAGGCATGGTTTTCCATAGGAATACATTGAAATTTAATTAATGTGTTCCTATGGGGAATAAAATCCAAAAAAAAAAAAATCACTTACCTCAGAACAGCAGGAAAGAGCACCAAGCAGCTCAGAGCCGGCACCCAGCAGAGAGCCAGCAGCCATTTTCTGCTCTTCTCCGCTCCAGACCCTCCCCTGCCTCACAGCTGATCGGCGTTGGATCTTAGAAGCTTCCCCAGGCTTGCCCAGAGGGTAAACAGGCAGTGGAAATGCACTGGGGAAGCCTCTGAAAGCTGCGTTTTGCCGGGGCGGGGGCAGGGGCGGGGCAGGCCCCCTGCACTGCCCCCACCCCACCCCACCGGCAAAGCATGGCTTTGAGAAGCTTCCCGGGGGGGTTTCCACTGCTGAACAAGCCCTGGGAGGCTTCTGAAAGTGGCACTTTGCCGCGGGGGTGGCACGGGGGGTAGCGGGCCTGCCCTTGCCACCACCCCACCCCACCTCAGCAAAGCGCCGCTTCAGAGGCTTCCCCACTGCATTTCCACTGCCTGTTTACCTGCTGGTAAAGCCCAGAGAAGCCTCTGACACCCCACACTGATCAGCTGTGAGGAGGGGAGGGCACGGGAGAGGAGAAGAGCACACACACCCCACCACCTCACCAGCAAAGCACCACTTTCAGAAGACTCCCGGGGCTTCGTCTTGCGAAATAGGGCCATAGTTAAAATCGTCTTGTGAGACACCAAAATCCTCGCCAGACCCAATTGTCCTGCAATTTTTTTGTCCCGCAAGGCAATCGTCTTGCGGGGCACCACGGGCCTCACCTTCAAATGGGTCACACACATTAAAAAAATGCCCATTCTTTCACTTGGGCGAGGGCTTCTACCCCCTCGCCTTGTGGCTCACACATGGTTGTTGTTACCTTACACTGTGTGAGCCGCAAGGCGAGGGGGTAGAAGCCCTCACCCAAGTGTCGTCCTCCATCAGGAAAGAACAGGAGGCACAAATAGACCGCTTGCATAACCCATTGAGACAATACAACGGGGAGTGGACACCCGTGAACTACAATAGGAGTTGTCTAAAATGACAGTAGCCACTCAAACTGAGAGGGCAATGGCAAAAAAAGAAGAAAGGGGCACAACCACCGTGGAGGCGGGAATAGGGGATATAAAAGGAGTGAGGGATGAGATACCCAGGGGTTGGGAGTTAATATGGGTGGAAGATCCCTGGACTGGAAAGTGTGAAAAGGTCCGGGTTCCCAGGGAGGAGGCAGACTACAGTATAGGAGAAGGAGAAGTGTGCCTCCATGACCCTCATATTGGGGGGAATCAGAGGCACGTGAGTGGCTTTGGAGATTAGAAGAAGAGAAGGAAGCTGTGGAAAGAGAGGACAGAGAGACGAGCATGGAGACTGGAGGAAGCCCGGTGGAGAGGGTTCCTGTCGGACCATGGGCTCCCTTACAAGGAGATGAGGACCCCTTCGATCCAGAGCAGAGAGACGAGGAGACCATACCGTTATTAGAACTAGGGACTGACACTTTGGACTTGGATGGCAGTAATCCTTTTACCAAAGGACTCTAGAATGAGTTAGAATATAACCCGTTCAATAAAGATGTTTGGATGTCCTCGTGGGACCCATTAGCAGTGAGAGACAATGTTAGAGTTGACTTAGAGACAAAGGACTTGATGTTTAATGTTCTAATAAAGCCCAGGTTTGATTTCGCACAACAAGAGACTCCAGTGTCTATGTTGAAACCAGGAGATGCCATATTTGAACCCTCAGACCATGGTAGCACAGCAATGGCAACTACTGTACATAAATATGTATGACTAGTATGCAGCTTCTACCCCCTCGCCTTGCGGCTCACACATGGTTGTTTTTACCTTACACCAGAATGCACGGGTCCAGGGAAGTGAAACTAGCAGTGACCAGAAGTCAACTTCTGGTTCTGAAAGAATGGGCATTTTTAAATGTGTGTGACAGCAATGGCAACTACTGTACATAAATATGTATGACTGGTATGCAGACCTACCACACTCACAACTTAACAGTCTAAATTTGATGGGGAACTAGCGCACATTTTGGACTGTGTGGTACAGCCCAGTGCAAGCTATTTCCTTTGCAGTCACACTACGCACAGGAGATAGCAAACCAGCCCAATCTTTATCTGTGTTCAAATTGGACCTTTTTGATCTAGTAGCAGGACAACTCTTCCTGGGGAGTGGGCTGGAGCAATTCCCACACAGACAGAATGGTTACTTTAAGGGAGATGGCTCCCAACAAAGCACTGCTTCTGAGACAGTCAAATATGATCCTTTTTCACCGTCTGATCACACCATCAGTTGTTTCCAATGGCTTTAAAGCAAGCCATCACAGGTAGAAACCTACTTTCCCATTAAAATAGGAATTTGATTCCCAGGCAAGATTCATCCCTCAATTTCACCCTCCCTTCCACCATCTTGTTTACCCTTTCCGATTCCATGTACTATTCTCTCCCTCTTCTGCTTTCTTGCTTACTCATTCTGTCCCCTTGGCTATCTTCTCCCTTCCCTTGCATGCCTTGTATTGTTGTTCATCATTTACCTAATTTTCAGACCTAAGGACCAGATTATCTTTATTATGTCCTGATATGTAAACTATAGAATTCAAAGAGGACATACTTTCTTTTCACATGACTTTATATATAACTTGTTTTTATTATGTTCTTTAACACTCTCCCTGCCAAAAAGTTTCCCTTAGCTCCACCCTTTTTATTTATTTTATTATACACATAGAATAAATTATTATGAAAACTGTTATAAAACCCAGTCAGATTTAAAATGGCCTTAACAAGATGGTTGCTGAGGCCCTATGACTCACAAGCCAGGCTGCACCACACTACTGGGGCCGCCTGAACTATATGAATCATAGGGCCACAGCATACATTCCATATGATTTATCAGACCTAACACTGTTCTCAACCTAGCCAGGTAGAAACTCTGGCTAGGTTTGCTTATCTGCTTCCGATACTCTCAGATACAGCTGCCAAAAGAGACCTGAACCCTGCCATTTCATGTTGAAACCAGGAGATGCCATATTTGAACCCTCAGACCATGGTAGCACAGCAATGGCAACTACTGTACATAAATATGTATGACTAGTATGCAGCTTCTACCCCCTCGCCTTGCGGCTCACACATGGTTGTTTTTACCTTACACCAGAATGCACGGGTCCAGGGAAGTGAAACTAGCAGTGACCAGAAGTCAACTTCTGGTTCTGAAAGAATGGGCATTTTTAAATGTGTGTGACAGCAATGGCAACTACTGTACATAAATATGTATGACTGGTATGCAGACCTACCACACTCACAACTTAACAGTCTAAATTTGATGGGGAACTAGCGCACATTTTGGACTGTGTGGTACAAGTCCTGGTGACTGCTGCATCAAAATGTTTGCTCTAAAAATGATTCAGAACCTTCAGCTATTGCAAAATTATGGTTGGCTTCTCACATAACAATTTCTATGGGAAAACATCACTTGCTACAAAGTAGCTGCCAGGCCCAATTCAAGGTGTTAGTTTCAGTTTTAAAGCCTTAAATGCTCAAGGGACTCAAGGGAGGCCTCTTTGTAGATACAGTGGTGCCCTGCTTGACAATTACCCCGTCAGACGTCAAAATCGCTTGACGATGAGTTTTTTGCAATCGCTATAGCAATCGCAAAACAATGGTTTCAATGGGTTTTTTTCATTTTACATTGATCAGTTCCCTGCTTCGTGAACGTTTCTTCGCATTACAACGATTAAAAACAGCTGATTGTCGGGTATTCAAAATGGTTCCCCGCTGTTTTCCGGACCTACTTCCGGAAGACAGTGATGCAAAATGGCTTCCCCTATGGAGGATCTTCGCTGGATGAGTAGGTATTTCCCCCATTGGAACGCACTGACCAGTTTTCAATGCATTTCAATGGGGTTTTTACTTTCACTTGACGAAGATTTCGCTTAAGAGCGATTTTAACGGAATGCATTATCGTCGTCAAGCAGGACACCACTGTATTCTGCCTCCACAATATATACAGTAGTGCCTTGACTTACGAACTTAATGTGTAATGGAATGGTGTTGGTAAGTCAAAATGTTCATAAGTCAAAGCAGCATTTCCCATAGGAATACAATGAAACCCGATTAATCCGTTCCAGCTGTTTTTTGTTCTTATGTCAAGGCACGGTTTGGAAGTCA